TAGTCATCCTACCGTCTGCCGGCCAAAGCATAAGATATGTAGCAAACCCTGTCCGTTGGTCAGTATCGGGTAAGCGTCCATGACTCCATGTAAAGTGCCAGAAGCGGACTCACACTCAAAAAATGCACCGCCCCAACCAATTGGATCAGCAACGAGCCTTTGACCCTTCAGCATCGCGAAAACGTCCCAGATTGTCATGTAATCTCTTCCCTCGGCGTACTTGGAAAAGATATCCTCAAACTTCTGCGGGTTGAATCGACCCTCGGTATCGTACGTATTAGTGTCACTACCGTGCTTGTCCTTGTGGACTCTGTCGAGGAAAATGCGGAAGAAAGGGTCCGGCAGATACCCGCTCACTGTCGGGTAAGAGAAGTTGCCGTGGATGATGAAGACCGAAAGAACTGAGAGGATGACTCCGAACCCCAATGCGTAGAATCCCCAGAACGTATCATGGGGGTAGATTACTCCATCTTTGTCCTAGTATTCCCAGTCAGCTCTTTCTGTTCAACCGCGAGGGAGTGGAATCATTACACTATCGAAGAACTCGCAATGTTGTTGCAGCACTGTCTGATGACGATGCCTTTGCGCCCAGCCATGTTCCGTCGTGCCGTTCGGCTTCTCGTAGGTCGCAGCAATATTAACCCTGGGAGTACCTGCCAGTCATTAGTGCACTGCCCTCACGAGATGTTGTGATGTCCCAATCATACCCGTATGCGCCAGCTTCTGGTCCTGATTCGGCTGGAAGAAGGGTTTACGCTGCTGCGTTACCGGGACCTCCGGAATGGACCAAATCACCGGTTCACTGAGCTTGTCAGCCGGCTTTTTAGCCGGCTTTTGCGGCCTTTGCGGCTTCTCCATCTTCGTGTAGTTGTGATCTTCGAGAGTGGCCATGGTCACAATGCTTTTGGGTCAAGTTTGGAAGAGTAGCATGAGCCAGTCAGAACAATCAGATTAGAAAATCCCCGGTCCGCGGCGGCATATATCGTGCTATCTTGAGTTACGCGGGCTAAGACAATTCCGAACATGCGCTGTTCATCGTGACGTCACTAAGCCCGTTCAAATACCTCAGACCATTGCGGTGTTCAGGCCATAATCCGTCTTGACTTTCATGTGCCACTTCTGCATGTGATAATTGGTATCGTTGCATTCCACTTCATGCTGCTTGCTGCTAACAGATGTGGTTGATAGTAGCTCTAAGGAGCTATGCTGCAGCTTCTGATAGGTCGTTTCGAGCCGCATTCTTGCATGGGCGAACCATCTCAGGCCGATCGCGACCATGACGGATTAGGTAGAACAATGAGACAGCATACTCACACTTAAGTACCTTAATATTGCCACGGCAACAGGATGTCACATCCCGGTGACAAAACAAAACATCGTGCCTCTTTCAAGCGGTACGCAGATGATTCACTCAACCCTCGATTTACCGCGGACGGAACATTCACCCATGCTGTGTTTGCGACTTCATACACGACATGTACTGAGTCGTCACTGAATTCATTAGAGGGGACACTCCCAAGGCCTTGGCAGCCTGGAGAATCAAAAAGTCCCAAATCACTCGAAGTAAGAAGTGACATGTAAATAGTAGCGGTAAGGGCGATGATGGCAAATTGAGCCCCGAGATTAAACAAGCCGACATCTTGCCAAAGTAGAAATCCAATCAGCCCCCCTATTCCGTATTGTGTTTCTCTGGCATTTTTGGTGGAAGTGAGACAAGTCAGCCTCAAATTGCCTATCATTCACCCACGATTGTTATGTTTCCGGGCTCCGTATCATTTCAATTCTCATAACCGCTGTGCGATCCTTCCAAAGCCACTCCGTGAGATCTAACGCAAGATCATGGTTGTATTTCAGCCGCAAACCAGCAAGGAACATACGTACGGGATCGCAGTGCCATGATATGATTCTTCGGTTTGCAGAGAGCGCTATGAGAATCTGCTAAGTTTCGTGACATAATTGATAACATGGCAGAAGGGAAATTATTCCACATACAACTTGAGCATTAAGGAACAGTCAATAGGGAAATGGGAACATGACTAATAAATGACCAACAAGGGAGTTCCCATAGAGGTTGGCTGCGTATAATCTTCATCATTTCACAAACAATCCAGCTTCCATCATCATAATAGTCATATGGCGATAGGTGAACAATAATCCAATGACTGAGCGGCCTTACCGACATCCGCATTCAGTTACGATGCGACCACGAACCAGCATAATAGTAGGTTTAGTCAGTTCTTCGGCGACCGAAATTTCGCACGCGGGCAAACAGACTTGTGCGACTGAATGTCATAATCCAAGATATATGGCCTCCTTTCTCTAAGCAAAGGCCGTCGTGCTGTTCGTGCAAGTTTGTGCAACAACTAGAGCAGACCTCATGATGATCTTTGCGAGACGAACGGGTCGCGAGGAGGGTTGCCGGCCTTTATTTACGAAACCCGTCAGCATAAATAGACATGCTCAGGCGTAGTGGTAAGATTTCAGGCCAAGGCCGTGATCATGGGATGATCAGATCATCGCCACATCAGCTTTTTCCACAATTGCCGCCCGTGTGGTCCCCGAAGACACCAACAATCTGCCATACCTCGTTTGGGGTCCTGATCGTTGGCTTTCCGAGGCAGGTCGTGAACGCTTGGACAGTGCTCGGGCTCGAACCACTTGGCGGCAATGGCTTGCCCGTCATGAACGAAAGACGTTGGTTTGTCAGTGAAATGAAACAAGACTCGCGCAGACGTGCGTCCCCGAGCTGAAGAGAAACAGACGGCGTCCTGCCGACTACCATTCTGTCTTGTCTGCCTTCGCCGACCAACTGAAGAAACACGTTCGTCTCTTGGCGGCATAGCACAAACGTCACAGCTGCATCGATCAAGTGACCGCGAGGAGCTCGTCCGCCTACCATCAGTGCGGTCCAATGACACTGGGCGTTCGGCATGCACGACCGTTGGGCCTTGGTCTCATACTGATTCAACCTGTTTTTCCGGGGCGCAATTTCTGGTCCTGAGCGCAAGGCTACCTACGTGTTGAGGTTTCGCTGGTTGTCAAGTTCATCTGAACTCATTACTTCCGAGCTTGCGAGGGTGTTTGGAACTGTCTATCCCGTAGATGCTATCTCTAGAAGACTGCGAAACGAAAAAGCCATTAATTTCATAACAAGAATACGGCAATGGCTCAGGGCACGTCTGATAGACTCCCTTAGGCGGTTGAAATTGAAGGGGCACACTGTGGAAATGGCTTTGATTAGACCTCTTCTGTGTTCGCAGCTTACTTGATGTAGATTCACATTGTTCCTTCGTGATCTAGAAGATCCAACGGCTTTCGACTCGCAACGTGGAAACAGATCTGCAAATGGTCACTAGCCATCAGATGACGAGCTGCATCTCGCATGGACTGAGTCCATTTTACCCAAGATTGAAATACTTTGAATGCGTTTGACTGTGCTTTCTGCTTAGATCAGATCGCCCGATGAAGTCGTGAGCAACTCACTTATCAAAGAGGTCTTTCGACCTCGTGTGGCAATTCGTAGCTATTGAGAGCATAGCAGTGACAACCTAATTTATCCACCGGACCATTTTGATGCCTTGAAATAAAAACAAGAAAGCCTGCGTGGGTGTCATTACTTGAAGGAGCAAAACGATATGATCAGTGGGAGGCTTGAACTCCCGGCCTTGGCATTACTCAACATTTCTGGTGAAATATTAGTACCACGCTCTAACCAACTGAGCTAACCGACCATTTGGTTCTTGATGGTGAGCCTGCTGAGTTCTCATCTTATGGAGCTTGATGGTGGAGTCTTGGGTGAGTCATTTCCAAGAGTTCTCTTATCAACGGGGGGCTCGGTGTTTTGCGCAAATTGCAATGACAGTGCGGGGACATCTTGGGTCAAATAACATATGCAGTCGAATTGCGACCTGCAGATAGAGTAAGTAGTCGACAACAGAAGCAACTCGCTGGGCTCAAGAGACGAGTCGGTCGTCTCTTTTGATATCCATCAAGAATGGTTCGCTGTGAGTGCTGAGGGTTGGTTGATTGACCACTCATCATCGGGCGAATAGCATCCGAGAAGGCGACCGTCGCAATCCTTGGCCCGCTGTTTTTCTTCTCTGGCCTGCGCCAGCAAAAGCCTCCGTCAAGCAGGGCAGAGAGAGACAAGTCAGGAATCATTGTAGTCTGGACTCTGCAGAATCTAGTGTTAACAATGGAACCAAAGAGTATGGGAACGCATACACACATACGCGTAAAGCCAGACCGCCAGACCATCATGACGTCGCAAGAGCCCCATGGTGCCAGGCTCTCCCTTCGGATCCGGACCCGAAACTCCGCGATGGTTCCCAGCTCCGGAGGGCGCGCCATGTGGCCCTCCCCCAGACCTTGCAGGGCTAGAGTCGCACCAGGAACCAGGCACAAGTCCCCCGCGCCTATCAAGGGGGAAAGCTTCTCACTCGTGTCACCCAACGGCAGCCCGAAAGAGGCAAAGCTGAGTGTCACGCAATGACCCTGACCGCCGGCCGAGGGAGAGGCGTCTGTCTCTGCTTTACTTCTCCCAGCGGGAACCCTTTTCTACTCTCCATTTCCTAAAACATTCATTCCATCCGGAAACCTTCCATCACGACCATCACTCTCGAACACGCCTTGTTCAATACATGCCCCCAACCCTTACCAGCGGCCTCGGAGAACTGAGCTCAAAGGCATAGAACGTTTGTGCCAGCCCTCTCAGCTTCTACCCCGGATTCTTGAAACCTGAACCCGGTCACATCAACCAACCCACGCCCGGATGTGCTCTCGCCCTGCCATGTGTTAAAGCATCGCTCGACATCGACAAGGCTGTGCACTTTTCCTCGCTAAAGTGACGAACGACAATGGAAAAAACCGATCCCGCCATCATGGACTCGGGGGCCCGGGAGCCAACGTGCATCAATGCTTCGCATCCCCGAGCTGCAGAAGATGAGAAGATCTCTCTCCATTTGAATGGCCAGCCCTGCAGCTTCTTGACCGACGAAATCATGCCCGATGAGACCCAATTTCTTCACGCTACCAAAGAATCCAAGGAAGCAGACTACGCTAGCCAACAGCACCCTACTACCAAACGACCAACCAGACTTGCCGCCCTCTTTCCCCCGCTACAAAGATGTACGAAACCATGGACTACAGGCGCGTTCGCGTTGTACCTCACGGGCCTCATCCTAATCTCGGCCTACTCTGCCAGCAAGCTATTCGACGCCGGCAGCTGGCTAGCCCGTCGACCAGCACAGCCAGCGGCGCCAGCAGCTGCTTCTCCGGCCTCTCGGATCTCACCAGCCTCCCCAGTCCGGAACTGGGATGCGGCCGCCTCCAAGGCGACGGTCTTTGTGGCCCAGCTCAACCTCACCGAAAAGACGCTGATGGTCACTGGCCAGCTCGGGCTTGAGGCCGGCGGTTGCATTGGCAACATTGTGCCGATCGAGCGCGTGGGGTTCCCCGGACTCTGCTTGCTCGACGGCCCCACGGCGCTGGACCGCGCCGATCTTATCAGCGTCTTCCCCGCCGGTCTCACCACGGCCGCGAGCTGGGATAAAGAGCTCATTTACCAGCGCGGCAAGGCACTTGGCGAGGAGTTCCACGATAAAGGCGTCCATGTTGGACTTGGGTGAGTTTTGAATTCCCTATACGTTAGGTCAACAGCATGCTAATAAGCCATGCAGCCCGGTCGCTGGCCCACTCGGACGCCAACCCCTTGGAGGCCGCAATTGGGAAGGATTCTCAGTTGATCCCTACCTCACGGGAATCGCGATGCAACTCACTATTCAAGGAATGCAATCAGCAGGCGTGCAAGCTTGCGCAAAGCACTTCATTGGAAATGAACAGGAAACCCAGCGAACCAACTCGTGGCTTGCAAACGGCACAGAAATCGCAGCGATTTCGTCCAACATCGACGATCGCACCCTGCATGAGTTGTACTTGTGGCCTTTTGCAGACTCCGTCCGTGCTGGGGTTGCCAGCGTGATGTGTAGCTACAACAGACTCAACCAAACTTATGCGTGCGAAAATTCGGGCTTACTGAATGACATCCTCAAGACGGAGCTGGCCTTCAAGGGATATGTCATGTCCGACTGGTTCGCGACGCATTCTGGAGCCGAGTCCATCAACAACGGGCTGGATATGAACATGCCTGGGCCCATTGGCCATGCCCAGATCGTCTCTGGTGAGACATACTGGGGTCCCAACATCACTGATATGATCAAGAATGGTTCAGTCACAGAGGACCGTCTTGATGAGATGATCCGGCTGATCATGACACAATACTATCTGTTCGATCAGGATAGCTCCGATTATCCCACCGTCGACCCATCCATCGTCTTCACGATTGCAGCTCAGTCAAACCTTCTAGACTTACTCCCCTTCCAGCCACCGCCAAGCCGCGATGTCCAGCGAGACCACGGCAAGCTGATCCGGAAACTCGGTGCCGAAGCAACAGTCCTCCTCAAAAACCTCAACGGGACCCTTCCCCTCAAAAAGCCCACCAACATTGGCGTTTTTGGCAATGACGCCGCCGACCCGGCTGATGGTCTTGTCTTCGGTGCCGGATTTGAAATCGGCACGCTCTCCGTGGGAGGCGGCTCAGGAACAGGGAGACACACCTACCTCATCTCTCCGCTTGAGGCAATCAAGGCCAAGGCGCGCACGACAGGCGCTCGCGTGCAGTATATCCTAGACAACAAGGTCCTGGCTGCCGGCGACTTCAGTAGCTTGTACCCTATTCCTGAAGTCTGTCTCGTTTTCCTGAACACCTTCGCGTCAGAGGCTTATGATAGGACGAGTCACGAAGCCGACTGGAACTCGACGCTGGCTGTCGAGAACGTCGCTCGGAGGTGTCCTAACACTATTGTCGTGACGCATTCGGCTGGTATCAATACCTTGCCATGGGCGGACAACCCAAACGTGACAGCTATCTTGGCTGCGCACTTGCCAGGGCAGGAGTCGGGGAACTCAATTGTTGATGTGCTCTGGGGAGACGTCAATCCCTCTGGAAAGCTGCCTTACTCTATTGTGTTCGATGCGAAAGACACCGATATCCCCATCGTCAATCTTACCGAATCAGACATTACGTCCCCCACAGCATGGCAAGCTGATTTCACAGAGGGCCTTCTCATCGACTATCGTCAGCTCGACGCCGAGAATGTCAAACCTCGTTATGAGTTCGGCTATGGCCTCAGCTACACAACATTCGACTTGGATGCATCTCTGAAGGTCAAGCAGCTCGCAAAAAACGTCGCCGCCATCCCGAATCCCTCAGCACCCAACGCACCTGGGGGTAATCCAGAACTCTGGGAGACTATCCTTCATGTCACTGCTCGCGTCAAAAACATCGGCGACATCGCCGGGGCCACGGTCCCCCAGTTATACGTTGCCCTGCCACAGGACTCAGTTCCCGAGGGCACCCCCACTCAAGTTTTGCGTGGTTTCGGGAAAGTCTTTGTGGAGTCAAAGGAGTCTAGCACTGTCGAATTCGAATTGCTGCGCCGTGATTTGAGCTATTGGGATGTAGCGTCGCAAACTTGGGTTATCCCTGAGGGACCGATTGAGTTACGCGTTGGCTTTAGTTCTCGCGACATCAAGGCTACGGCGAAACAGGTTGTCTTATCCTCCTAGGGCATGGTCTTGGAGTTGAAAAGAAAGTTGTTGGCTTTTGAGCATAAGGTAGTCTAGATGGCCGAACTATATGTTTAAATAGACGTAGCATCAACTCGCTCTTCGTGCTTTCCAACTCTACATAATCTCAAACTCGGTTTCCGCAATTGCAAGATTCTCCTCCATCGCCTCACCATCCATCAGCCCGTGGATATAACAATCGCCAATAATTCGCGATTTCTTGTGCTCGTCTTCACGGATGATGATGGGATAGTCACACCCATACAGCACAACAACCAAGTCGCCCTCCCTTACCCCATCAACAGCCCAACCGAACCTGCCCTCCTCCGAGCGAAAGAACCTTCGATTGTAAGTCCACTTTGTATGTGCGCCGATGAACTTCTCTGCAGCCTCCTTCTCCTTCGTGTAATGCGCCACCCCATCCTGTGGCGCCAACCCGTGAGACTCAATCTCGTGGTCCGCCCGCTCCTGCAGAACCCGAGCGAGTCCCTTACCCGGTTCCAAGGCGGTCTTGTAGTGTACCTCGAAACCAATCGCGCAATCCTCGCCAGGTCTCTCGTTATTGTCCCGCGTGCGGTTGCACATGAAGGTCCGCCAGAGGTTCTCCCACGTTTTCGGGGTGGCTGTCTTGTCTGGGAAGGCGACGTCGACTACGCTACGATACCATATCTCTGAATGTTTGACCATCTTTTCCATTGTCTCATTGAGTCTGTATTCGGCGTCATTGATTGGACTCCCGGACCTCTCGGCATCGTTCCCAACTATGCTACCTCCCACGTCCTCCCCCTCGTCTTCTCTCTCGTGTTTGAGAATGGCGCCGCCATACTTTGCCATCTTGATCGCATTTGAGTTGCTGATTTCGGCTTCGTGTTCGATGTTGCCCTTTTCAACTTCATTTTTTTCGCCGATGCCTCCCAACGAGCCCTGCTGGTTCGGCACAGGTATTTGCCGCTTGCATTCAATCTGGGCCACCACATCGACGACCCTGCCCTTGATATGCAAAATGCTAGCGTCCTCGTCGATACGTAGGCTTGGCTTGCTATCACCAGCAGCGGAGACCTCGAGCCCACGAATGCGAAGCGGCTCAGTCCAGCCGGGACGAGTCCAGTCAGGCACCCAAGACGGAAGCTTCAAAGTCGTCGGCTTTGAGGAGTCAACGCAGTGTGTGAGGATATCCAGCGACCCACTCCTGATGTTCTTGATCGCGAAGTCAGTGAACACCCTTTCGGGAGTTTGAGCGTAGTCGACAACATGGGTCCCTTTCTCATCGATGAGGCCAAGTACACCGTAAATCTTATCACAAGGGATTGTGGCTTGGAAGTCTCTCAACTCCTCCAGCAAAGTAAGAAGCGGGATGCTAGTGCATATCGCCGCTTCGTCGACTCGTTCCTTTCGGAGCTGTTCCATGAAGCCAATGGCTTTGAAACCTTTGCATTCGCTAATCATGGTTTGCAGTTTGAATTCTGACAAAGTGAGGATGACAATTGCCATGAAGTGCCAGGGGACCTGGATAGCTCCCAGATGGACTATAACCTCGCGAGAGTTGACAACTTCCTGGATGATCCAGGTACGTTTGAACTAGATACGTATCAGCAAGAATAGGACATAGCCATGATGGGACGTGAACACTCACCCATGAGCGGTTGAGCAAATCAGCTAAGAGCCCCCATTCAAGCCGATTTGTATCCGCATTGTTGTGAAAGTGCCATTGAATCTCATGCATCGTCGCGCTCGCCAAGTCGACAACCTTGCGATGAACAAAAATATCGTCAAATATTTCCGAGATCGCGTAAAGCGTACGGACTGCGTGAAAATCCATCTCCGTCGACTCACCCAACCACACTCGCGTTCTCAAGGCGCCAGCATACACCCGTCCCATGATTTTGACATGCTCGTTCCGTTCCTTGAGATCTTGCTGATTGATGCACAGCGCATCAACCCAAATTCGAAGCGGCTCCCCGCCCTCTTTGCTTCGCATTGTACGCAGGGCGCGGAAGAGTTCCCCTCCGACGACAATTTCTACGCCGTCGCACTCGATGGTGGCGTCAGGCATGCGACCGCCCAGGCGTATGTACTGCTCTCCGTAATAGGGGTGGTCGCAGAGATCCTTCCATTTGGACGTGCCAGACTCGGAAATCGTGTTGCCGTCGTCATCCTGGCCGTGAATGGCCCAAGGAATTTCAGTGTCCGGGTCGATTTCTTCAACGGGGTCGAGGCTCTTGCTCCAACAGTAGCTTAGAGCCTCGTAGGGCGCGTCTGGTGAGTTGAGGTTAAGATTTGCGATGTTACATAGTAGTTTGTCGTCGAAGTTGCCGGGTTGAACGGTGAGGATGCGGGTTTCATTGGGGAGATTTAGGGGGCGGTAGGGGTAGGGTGCCATTTTTTGTGCAATTGTTATCAAAGATAGACAGTAACCGAGACGGTTGAACCTGCACGTGAGAAGGGTCTCGCTGGAGGAACAGAAACGTACTTATAAGTTTCAGATTCCAAGTATCTCGGATTGAGGTGAGCTATGTTGCTTTTCGCAAGCTTTCTCTCATTCAAGCCTGGTAGGGCTGTGCTAGGCACCAGCTTAGTAGCAACACCTCTAAGCGTCATCTTACACGTTCAGGATTGGCTAAGATGATAAACCCTAGCTCATATTGGCTGGCTAGACACTTTTTCCACTTGGACCCTAGATTTACGGAAGTCCCAATGAAGTTTAAGGTGTCATCAGCCTGCACCGGTGGGAGGATCCTGGAACAGATCCTCCTGCAGCTATTTGTAGTCATCGACACTAAGAGACTGGATGTCCTCCAATACATCAGCCCTTTGACGCATAGCCGCCTTGCAGATAGTGGTCAATTACACTATTCTTCAATACCTCTCTAGACAAACGTAGTCTCGATAAGATGTATATGTATTGCTGACCATCTACTTCTCGCCCTTTCGCCCGCCGACCTCAAACCTGAACGCGTCACCACTATACACAGGGCAAGTACAGTTTCAACACAAGAGTTCGCTGCAATGTTGTAGGCCTCTATCTAGGGGAAGACATTTGTGGTGCTTTACAGAACTTAAATTGAAGAGACCTTTTCCTATCGCCGCAAGCTTGTCTGACAACCTCTAGTCAGACAGTGTAGGCAAAGCCCATTGGCAAATCATGTAGCGACAGGTGAGTTTGTGAGGTAGCGATGGGCTTATAAATGAACGTCAATAGTTGAATCCTGAACCAATGTCCATAGGTACTCAAAAATAGATACTAAGGGAAGACAAACAGCCTCCAAGGTCAGCTGTAGCCATGACATACAGAAATTCGACTAGAATTGCGCCGCATGAACATGCTTGGGAAAATGTGACTTGGGCAGTGAGTCATTTAATCTAAGAACCAATTATGACAGCGAGAATTGACCTCCGTACACAGATTGTGTGGCGTGTCCTCCGTCGCTTGATCTTTTAAGCGCGGCCCGAATCTGACCTAATAATCTTATTTAAACATCAGCGGCAACCACTAGACCGGACATGCGCATGTCCACAACTCAACACCACTCCTTCATACTCTGCCGCCACAGGATTTCTAGTATACACTATCTCCCAGATGGCTCTCCCGCAGCGAATTGCTCCCTCCACCGAGGCTCTAAGGAAGTTCTATGTCGGCAAGGATGTGAATGATGTTCCGAAGCCGGCAGTAGTTTTGGATGCGGCCAAGGTCAGAACGCACTGCCGGTCCATGTTAGAAGCCGTCGATGATTTGGGAGTCGGATTCCGATTCCATGTTAAGACTCACAAGGTAAGTGGTCCAACAATGTGGTCACATCAATGCTTTCGATGACTTATGGGAACGTAATATTGACCATCGCCGCAGACCAAGGAAGTCACAAAGCTCCAGGCAGGCGAGAAGGCAACAAAGATCAATTGCATCGTGTCAACTGTAGCAGAGATTGAGCACCTCCTTCCAACCTTCAAAGAGTACAAACACGCCAGTCGCCACGTCAACGTCCTCTACGGCGTTCCCCTTCTCGGTTCCCAGATCGAGCGTCTCGCCTTCTTAAGCGAAGAACTTGGCAAGGACGGACTTACAGTCCTTGTCGATCACCCTTCCCAGCTAGGCTCAATTCGTCGGCTCCATGATTTAAGCGGTCTCCCGGTGGGCGTCTATCTCAAAGTAGACACGGGATATCACAGGGCAGGACTCCCCGCCACGGCGCTCAACAAGGGCGGCCTGCTAGAGCAGCTTACGCAGCTCGAAGCGGAAGGCAAAGCAACCTTGGTGGGACTGTACTCACACAGCAGTCTCAGCTATAAGGATGACACCGCTAACCAGGCCATGCACAATCTCGCTGGAGAGATCGAGGGCTGTTTGGAAGCCCTCCACGCCAACGAAAGTCTCCTCGCGGCTAACACCTCGAGAGAAATCACCATTAGCGTCGGGGCGTCTCCCCAGGTCACAGCCATTGAGAACCTGACGGGTGCTGCGGCGGTCAGCGGATCCGGCGAAGCGCGTCTTCGGACGGCTATCAGCAAAGTTCAAGATGGGTCGCCGACGGTGAAGTCGACGCTCGAACTCCACGCCGGGGTATATGCTCTCCTCGATATGCAGCAAATGTCTACCCGTTCGCGGACCGCACTAGGAAGCCACGAGGATGAGGTCGCCATCTCCGTTGTAGCGGAAGTTTGTAGTGTCTACAATGACGGCGAGCGGGAGAAACCAGAGGCGCTCGTCGCTGTTGGTGTGCTGGGTCTCGGGAGGGAGCCCTGCCCTTCTTATCCAGGTTGGGGCGTCGTCGGGCGCCAGCCGGGGTTTGAGGCTGCGGGAGGACGGAGGCTGATTGTGGATAGGATCAGTCAGGAACACGCTATTCTCTCGTGGGAGGCTGATGCTGGAGCGAAGTCTGATCTGCCTCAGATCCCGCTCGAGGTTGGTCAGTCTGTCAGTATTTACCCGAACCATGCGTGTGTAACCGGTGCTCTGTATGGTTGGTACCTTGTAGTCGACTCGAGCAAGTCTAACAAGACCAAGATCGTGGATGTTTGGGTTCGGGGGTCGGGGTGGTGAGTGAAACCATGTGGAACTGATCAAAGGAGAAAGACCGAATGTCTTGTGAGTCAATTCGATAATAGAATCATATTCCAAAACCCTCTACCAAGTTCTTCAGAACTTTCAGGTTGCCCTTTTCCCATGCCGTGACCTTCCCCTGCCACTTCTCCCCACCACCGCCGCCCTTCACTCCCGGTACAACGTCCTTGATCTTTGGAACCAACGCCTCAACAGCAGCCTTCTCGCCGAGAACAGAAATTTGTCCGCTGCTCCCGTCATCTCCAGTAGCCAAGACAACGACTCCACCACAACCCATCACAGCATCTTTGACGTTGACGCTAACCCACTTTACAAAGTCCGCGTTTCCATCTGCACGATGAACCCAGACGCTCTTCGTAGATTGTAATTTGACCTTCGCAGCATCTGCTTCAAACTCGGCAATATCCGCGAGCAGCTTCTTTTCCCTCTTCTTCAGATCCGCCGCGGAGCTCTGTACAGTCTTCACGGTCTGGACTATTTCGTCTGACGTATTTTTGCACGACAGCAGCTTTGAGAGAGAGCTCATTGCACCAAGGGAGGTTGTCGCGAGGTTGATGGCTCGATCGCCGACGGAGAAGTAGAGGCGATAGTTCTTTCCATGGACTGGCTCGCCGTGATGGACGAGGATGAGTGAGATGTGGGATGTTTGGGAGAGGTGAGTGCCGCAGCATCTGTAGCTTAGGTGTCAGCATCAAGATACTACCAAGAACGATCCAACAGAGCGGGTGGGGTTTGCATACGTATTGCGATCAATGTCGCCGATCCGGATGACACGAACAACTCCTTTACTCTGGTCATAATCCTCGGGCATCTTGTGGACCTTGGCATCCTCCGGGGTCTCGACTGTAATTGGGAAGCTGGCGCGGATGATTTCGTTACACCTGGCCTGAATGGCTTGCAGTTCCGCATCGGAAGGTTTCCGCGGGATATCGACGTAATTCATCGCCCCAGTCTTTCCCATGCCCCAGCCGAGAGTATTGAGGTTGTCATGGGTGTTCATGACGGCGGATAAGAGATGTTGGCCCGTATGCTGCTGCATGTGGTCCCATCGGCGCTCGAAATCGACTTCTTGTCGTACCTTCTCGCCGGGATCCAAAGGTTTGGGAGAGTGATAAACGCATCGTAGCCCAACGCGTTCGACAAACTGTATCGGGATGGCGATTGCATCCGTGCTTGAGAGGGGGGTGATGGATCCATGATCAGAGGGTTGTCCGCCGCCTGGAGAGCGCAATTGTGTAAGCCTAAAGTACCAAAAAATTCATTGAAGTCGTGCGGTACCTTCAGGGAAGAGGACGGAGTCGGCGAATTCGATCAACCACACGTCGGCGGTGCTGCTGTTGGCGACTGGTTCCGCAGATTTGTCCTTGCCAGTCTTCTTTGTTAGTGGTGGTGGGAGTCTCTTTTCACATGAGGTGACCTCTGCCTCTAGAGTGCGAAGATATGAGTTCTTTTGACAAGCTAATGCCCCGACTACTTGGGGTCGAGTTGGTTCTGTCACTGCCATTTTTGAATGAGTCTTGCAACGTCTGGATAAGAATTGGTTTAATTGAAACGTAGTTTCATGGTGAGCGGGTGAGTCAATTGAGATAGTGGCCAACATCATCAATGAGATGAGGTAAGCAGATAAGAAAGGTGGATACGAAGGTCGGCGGTCGGGCTTATTGAGCGCCGGGTGAGAACTCTCCTCACGTGATATATTCTCTCCACGAATCCCGTTTCGGCCATTTGGTCAGGTTGTTGACGACGATGGGAACATCATTTCATTCCGGCAATAATGCGAGTCAGGTCGTCTGGAACCGTGACGACAAGTGGCGTTGATCACTACTGGGATTGACCCCACACCCGCCTGCGATGGGTCAACGCTTCGTTGGCACTTTCAGCCTTGACCGTTGTCCTCCGTGTGTGCATCCTGCTGGCTTTGTCACGATGGTATTCTCGCGGTGAAGCGCTAACGGTTCATGGGTTGCACGTCCATATTTAACATATTATATTCATTAGATGTTGCGAGAACTAGTGACGAGGCCTACTCCTCATCGCGCGGCGTTGGAAGCACACGTCCAAGGCTTGGTGCCCTTCTCATTCGCAATCGACTCGATAGACGCCCACAGACCAAGCACGCAGATGAGGAAGCCCGTGAGGAACAGGATAACATTGGCCACGAACTTGCAAGTCTGCTTTCCGTCCTTGAACCAGTTGCCGTAGTGCATCCACAGCCAAAAGATGCCGGGAAGGCCGTACGAGAACCACGAGGCGAACAGTGCGCAGATGAGGCCGAGCAGCGAGTTGAACACGGGGATGGACTCGGCAATGACCATGGATAGGGCCCAGATGCCGACCACGATGCCGATCCACGCGATTCCAGAAAGCTTCGTGCGGCGGATCATGTGCTTCGTGTTGCGGAACAGGCGCGAGAAGATGTACTTTGCGGCAACGTGGCCGTAGATGACACCGGCGATGACAATGGTCGGAATGGCGATGCCCCAGATGGCCTTGCGCATCGTCTTGGAGCCGGCGGCGGAGAGGGCGGGGGATGGGACGTCCGGGCCGACAAAGACGTAGATAACGATGGCGGCGAGCAGGTAGAGCGTCGTGTCGGCGATCTGGAGGAGGGCCAGGGCCTTGGGCCAGTCCTCGGGCTTCTTGAACTCGCCGATGACGCTGAAGAAGCAGGAGTGACTCGAGAAAGCGATGGCGATGTTGGTCACGGCAAGGAAGGCGCCGGTGAAGCCGAGCTGGCGGGCAACTTCGATGCTGCCGGAGCCGATGGGGCGGGAGACAGCAACGTCACCGAGGGTCATGAGGACGGCCAGGGTGATGGACAAGCATGCTGTGTTATTTGGTAAGTCAAACTTCATCATAGCGAATTCGCGATCGAACGGCGGTTGAACTCACAAGCCATGGACATGTAACTCGTGTACTTGAGCGTTCTCGGGAAGTTGAGCACAGCGAAAACAGCCAAACCGACGACGGCCCACACAATAGTGCAGGTAGATGAGTTGGTCAGGGTGTTGAGGCAGATGGTCCAGGTCAACAAGTGGCTGCCCATGACAAAGACCTGGAAGATAACCTGCGCCCAGCCAAAGACCTCCTGGAAGACGGCGCCCATGCCAATGGACTTGCCGATGACCTCAACAGCGTCGCCAAAGTTTTGCACAAAGGGGTACTCGTTGCGGAACTCAGCGAGGACGAGGCCTGAGTACGTCGACAGGAAGCTCATGATGAGGATGAGGACGATGCCGGGGACAAGACCGACAGTCGCCAGAACGGAGGGCAGCGAGAGGATGCCCAGGGACACGGTCTCAGCGATGAGGACGATGCCGCCTTGCCTAAAAGTGGGTGGGTTAGCAAGCGAACAGCCGTGGCGTCGTTGAAGGATAGCGAGACGTACCACCAGGTGAGAGTCTTGTAGTCGATTAATTCACCATCCTCTCCCGTCAGGACACTGTTATGCTCCTCTGCCGTCGCGGGCACGTAGGCTGGCGCGGCTTCCTCACGATCGCCAACATCCTTCTTGGCCTGGTTCTGAGCCTCCGTCATCTCGGGGCTGTTGGTAACGTCTACGGCGTTGCCCATCTTGTCTCTAGTTACACACGCAGGTGTGTAATGCTGGTCACTGCCTGCTGTATCTGACGCGTTGAAGCTGTCAGTAAGTCCGTCCGTCGTCCTGCGTGATCTGGCCGCAGATCTTGAAGAAGAAGCAGGATGAAGTTGAGAAGTGGCTCAAAGACGGAGAAAGAACCACGACGGACGTTCAGGTGAGAGTGGAAGAGAGGGAAACGGTAGAAGATCTCTCTCATTCCAGACTCAGAGTCATTCTATCCTTTGGGGGGGACCAGATTTCTTGATATAATCCACCCAGACCACGCCGCGATCGGCCTCGTCAACCTCACTGGAACCCGCGTAGGGCGAATTGGTCATACGAGACATCTGCCGAGGCGATCTCGGCGCGTCCGCAATGGCGAACCGCGCAGGGTCAGAGGCCGTCAGACGGCCCACGGGGGTGTGAGAAGTTGTGAACTCTCGCAGCGGCACCTTTCCCAGCAGAATGACTCGGGCCCGCACCTCCGGCCCACTCGGGATTGTGGCGATTTGGGGGACTTGTGCCTGGACGTTGGAAGTTTGGAACACCACACCCCTGCCCGGCTCTGGAGCCTCATCCACCACAACCATAACCATCTACGGAAACCCTTCCGCCGTTGACTCTTCGCCGGTGATGCCCGTCTCTTTGGTGTGTTCAAGCTGATGTCTCATCCGTATACTGAATGTTCGCATCTCATTCTAGACTCGAAGTCATGAGGGGAACCCGAGTCCCGCTACGGCAGCTAAAAATTCATCATTCGATACCAAGCTTTCTCTCACCCCCAACTCCCTAAGCTCAAGAAGAAGAAGAAAAAAAGTCAATGGGCTGATCGGCCACCCCCAAAAACCCAAAAGACGCAGAGTCACAGTCCAAAAAAGACCACAAAGAACAGGAAAATCTGCCCGGAACGCGCCTCGTGCAAAAAAATCTTCAAGCGCGCATTACCCATCCGTACCATCTCAACCCATCAAAAAAGTTCCACACGTTGGCTAATATTTACGTGATTATATCCACTTGGCACGGATTTTACTAATGTTGACGTCCCAGTTGGTTTGTGGAGTGGTCAATTCATGTTACTCCCAAGTTTCCAAACTCCACGAGCGCAAGTCCCCCAATCTGCCCATTGCCCATCCTCTTTTGCACCCTTTCTCGCAGGCTCCCTATCAAACTACAAAAAAAGTCTGGAAAGATTTTCGGCCCTATTTCCCCGCGTGGTTCCTCACGATCCACGCAACGCAAGCCGATGCCGCAGCCCGCATGCCCGGGGCCGGCGCATGCAGTCAATCTTTTACGCAAATTTGTTCGCCAACGGGGTTTCCTGGTGTCTTGCTTTTTGACTCTTTGCGTCCACGGATATCGAATGCTTCCCCCTTTTTTTTCTACTCCGCTCTGGTCTGCATGGTCTGCATACTGCATAGAACGGCTCATTTCGCCGTAATCCGCTTCATTCTAGAAGCCCGCAACCGGCCGGTCTCCATTCCTCGTGTCTTCTTCCTGTAACCGGAGACCCTGGAGACGTAACCATGGTTGCCTGTTCGTAGCCTCTCGAGTCTCAAGTAGGGTTACTGTTCATCTGGGTGAGCAATTGTACTCCTGTGCATAAACTGCATTAGATCGATAGAAACACGTGAGAGGGACTTTTGAAGGCACCAGATTGTAGTTAGGTTATTGAAAGCCTGTTCTGTCCCTGTGGTTCTTCGTAGCTACATAACAAACAACATGAGATCCTTCGGAAACAAGGTACTCGGAAGCAACTAAACAAGACACAACGTTCCATTTCCCCGTATAACGCACATGTAGTCATATACTAGTCCATACACGTGGATCTGGAGAAACGCGGGAGTCCGTTCCTCGTAGATCCCGTCTTGCCCGCCAAAGGTTCATGACGGCTCACGACGGCTCTCCCGAGTGGCCCCCCCTCCCTCTTCCCTCCTCTTGTTCCCCTTTTTTTTACCTTTTTGGGACGACAGACTGCCTCTCCACGACCTCTATCTACTAATCGTTCTCTTACTCACCCGCAGGTAACCGAGATCTGAGATCTCCTACCCGTTTGCCTACCCCTTCTTCCCCGGATCTTTTCACTTTCCCCTCCAAGCCATGTGCTAAATAGATCTTGGTTTTTCCCCTTCCCGTCCCCCGCAATCTGCAGCGTTGATGAAGGGTTCGTGTCACTTTAAGAGGGGGCGGGGGGAGGGGGTTGCCCTATGATCGAGATGGCGTGCTGGTTGTTTGTGAGAAAAACTGGACCCATCTTCTGGAGAGACACGATGGGTGAGTGAGTATATGTAGTGTGTGACTGCCCAAAGATGAGGTGCTTGTGTCAGATACGTCGAACATTGGCTATGAATGGCATCTTATTCCCACAGGAAGATCATTCGTTCCAGTTTCATATCAAGATTGGATTGTTGACTGGATCGCTGAAAGCCCAACTAGTCAATGATGCTCGTATCCGTCCTCTTGAGAGTCCTTCCTCGTAGTTTCGCGCATCAAACTGATACCAACAGATTATTAGAGTCACTCCCCATGGCAGCTTCGCTTTCAGGGAAAGACATCGGACAGCAAATATTGATGAAGGTTGATGTCTCATTCATTCGGGAATCATACATCCCAGGTATCTGTCTAGTCACCTCTCCCCGTTCCACCCAAACTCCCTCTTTTTTTTCTTCATCATCTCATACACATTATAATTACAGTGTTAAGTCGTATGTAATAGGTAACGGAACACCCCATCAGCGAGCGTCGCGTTATTTCACCGGTGTGATGATGACAACTATCCACTCAACCTTCTCTTCCGCATTCTTCAACGGTGTCCATTGGCTGGTGAGCTTCTCCATTTTACCTGCCTCACTCACAAGACTGGCGAAACCCGACCTACTGACGGGTCGTCCATGTTTCTTCGTGCTGCCGTCTGACTCGTCTTTGGATGAACGCCCGCCGAGGCCAATGAGACTGCCCTTCCGTGCGAGGTAGCCACCGCCGAGCATGATATCTAGCGTAGCCGTCTTTCCGTTTTGAATAACCCGTTCGCGCACCGTGTTCTTGAAGCCCTTCGTAATCGATGGCGAGTCCGCGAGGTCGGAAAGGACGGTAAAGACGTCTCGGTGCGCGATGCTATCGGCGAAAAGGCCGAGGCCGAGCGCCTCCAGCGCGGCGGCTGAACAAAAAGCAACACTCAGCCGAGCGGCCTTTCTCTTGTTAGGGTCAGCGGGCAGAGACGATGACCTTGGCGGGAAGGCGGAAGGTCCGTCTGTGTTTTGCAAAACAATGAATCGGCTGTAGCCAGAGTAAACAGAGTCCAGCGGAGCGGGTGTCGAAAGCTGCTCTTCTGAGCTTGAGACCGTTAGCAACTGCTCCAAGCCAAGGCCGACGCCCCGCGACGGTGACGTGTTTTCTTGATTGTTGCTGTTGTGCGTCGTATGCTTTCGGAATGGTTGAAAGAGGCTTTTCTTGGGCCCTTTGTTGTGAAGACTATCCCTATTGCGGAGACTTGTCCGCCGTTCCTGTTTTCTGTCTCGGCTGCTCGTACGGCTCATGCGGCGACTGACTCGGGACTCCCGACCCGAGGTCTCTTCCTTGACCTCATCTAGGGCCGGCCCAAAGTTGAGAATCCGGAGAAGGTCTTTGTAGTCACAAACGTTCTCCGAAACATTGATCTGCCCCCCGAGGTAGTATCGTAGCTTGCCGGAAGAGTCCGTGAGCGGACAGGTGAGTAGAAGGTTCCAATACGGGGTGCCGTCTCTCCGGTAGTTGAGGACGAGCTCCAACGACTCCTCCTCCCGCGCGATAGTATCCCGGAGGCGTTTGACGGTGTCCTGGTCCGTGAGGGATCCTTGTAAGAGCCGGCAGTTGCTTGACAGAGCCTCGACTTTTGGATACCCAGTAACAGAAACAAAGGCATCTGATGCGGCGATGATGGGGTAGTCTGGGCTCAATGCGTCCGTCAAGCAGAACGACTCGGCAAGGCCAGGATATCTGAAGACGCGAGTGCCGGATAGAGCTGCCGAGGTGGAGATGGCAAGCTGATGCTTCACGAATGCTGGATAGATGGACCGGGCAACTCGCTGCTCGACGCATCGTGTAGATTCTGCAAACATCGATTCGAGACCTGGGAGAACAGAATTTGTCAACTGCTTCATGTCGGCATTCAGTGACTTGGAGACAGTTGAAGGTAGGTTTGCTGGTGTCGGCATTGATGAGGCTTGTTTCCCAAACAGTGCTAATGATTTCGCGTATTCCTGGGTCCTCAGAAGGAATTCGATGTCCGAACCGCAGCCATGATTTTGGGCGAAATGGAAGAAACGTTGAGAGACGGAGGCATTGGCGAGAACCATCTGAAACACCTCTCGGCCGAGGAAGTCTGGTATAGACAAAGTCTCTGGTTCGATCTCCATGACTGGTGGCCCGAAGCTTCGGCGCAGACTTGTTGAGACGCTGTCGAGACTGGGCCATATACCGGGCCCAAAAGTCGGGGATCTCGGGGACCCATCGGGATTGTAGTCGGTGTATCGACGGAAGGCGTCTTCGTTTGTGTGTAATGACAGGCCAGAATTGCTCCTCAGGCGCAAGGACATCTTATTCGGTCGTGAGCTTCGGGGCGTCGCGGGCGGAGAGAACCTCATGGTGGGAACGGGCAGGCAGGCCGACGTTGGACTGTTTCTCAATCCCGGCCCCCGCAGACCCTTTGGGCTTTGGCTGTAGTCATCGTCGTATGGCGGTGTCACGGGTGACCTTCGAGACATGGAAGAGGCCATGTTTGTAGTTCGGTTTGAAAAAGAAAATTAAGTGACGAGAAAGGAGCGTGATAAGTGACAGCCCTCTGGCAGGCTCGGCCGAACGTAGGAATATGACGGAAGGCGTCTATTACAAGGAACAAAGTAGTAGCTTTAGAAAAGGATACCCGAATATTAGCAACGACTACGGCCGCATGTTATGTGATGCAAAAGAGACAAAGTGACTGACACCGATAACACATGTCACCACAAGTTGGAGTGGTTTCTCTGGAGATGGAAAAGACGGCCGACGTCCGGTGCTTATAGCAAACGCGCCGGTGGACGGACCCTGACTCGCCCTGGGACAGTCTCTTTGGTGTTGTGCCAGGCTTGTCAAACGCCGTAGGCAGTAAGATGTCTTAGCCCGACGCCACGAACTTGTGGGGGAAAGCCTGGCTTGCTAGAGCCTGGGGCTTCGGGGACAAACACACATAATGAGCTGCGTCTGCCGAGCGTTCTCCTTCGTTCATTGTCCCATGGCGCAGAGCAACGTTGAGGCCCGATATGCAACTTTGCTTGCGTTTGCAGGTGCGCATCGTCGATCACTGCCATCAATGCCTGCCAGCTATTCCATAAATGAGTTGCCGATATTGGCCTTCCGACCTCGTTGATTAGGACTGGACTAGCTGCTGGTCTGTTGTTCCAGGCTTGACCATCAGGGGTCACCCAGGAGCAAACTGCATGTGAGTGTAAAAAAAGCAATGAGACCGTGCGTCAAAGTCGGTTGGCGAGTTGATTGTGGCGGCGTCGAGAGGCTCCTTCACACGGCGATTCTACCTCGCCAAACAGCACTGTGCTGAAGCTAAAATGAACGGGGGTTGGGTGAGGATGCCACCATGTCATCCGAAGTCTGGTGTCGACGATGAGGAGGAGCGCCGCGAAGGCGTAAGGAACAACCAAAGGTGCAAAGGTTGGCCAGGAAATGTTGGCTGAATCTTGGTCCACATGGTAGACGATCTCCCGCCATTGCGTGACGACGGAGTGGCACAGGCCTATTTTGGGTCCCTCCCAGACCGCCTGGTTGGGACGCCTGTCCCTGTCGGGGGTTCATGAAGGGGCACGACGCCGTTGCGACGCTTTGGCCGGTGGCGGCGGTTGGATGTCGCATGCTGCTTTTGGCAGAGTAGCGTGAGTAGGTACACGAAGGCAAGAAATGCTGTCATGCAGAAAGCGACGGTCAGCAAAAGGCGAGAGAGAAAGCAGGGCGAAGAAGGACGTTGGCTCTGCAGTCGCTATTGGGGTCTCAGTTGACAGTGTCCATGCCCGTACACCAGCACGACATTTCAGGAAGCCGCGCAGGCAGGAGAGATAGAGGGACTTCCGTATTGTCGTTTCAGTATAAATGAAGGTATCGGATACCATCGACGTGAATGTCGCAGATGGAATAGAACATGTCGCTCTTTAAAACCTGATACTGGCTCGGTGGATGCACCGTCGTTGGTGTGCCCCGCGGCATCTTCCTTGAGCGGCAGACCAACGATAATCGTGATCTCGTCGCCACACCAGCGAATGGTTTTCGTGTTTGCCGGTGTGGCCCAGTGACCATCGCAGCTAATAGCGCTGGCGGGGACCATGAAGAGGAGGGGCGGGAGAAGAACTGCGGGCAGTAAAAACTGACTGTGCGTCTAGCTCACGGCTAGGTGTATCAGGTATCCGTCCTTGCGGGAGGCTCCGAATGGCCAACATCGAGCCGTTTTCAGGTGAAGAGGGATCGATGAGTTGATGAGTCGTCACAAACGACATGCGTGGGAGGACGAAAGAGAAGCTGGAGAGACACCAAGAGGTCTATGCTTGGTCAGAGTTTGGCGGCATTCCATCGTCTCGTCCGGGAGCCAGGATGATCAGACGGTCCTTGCATGAATAGCGGGCTGCGAGAAGGCGGGAATGAGTTCAGACGAAAGAGACTGTGGTCTGTGTGACCAAACCGGCTGATTGTGCTCCTCAACTGCGACTCGTCGTGTGATGTGCAAGCTGGAATTACTTGGTAGAGAGTTGCAGAGAACTTGAGATGTGGGAGGGGAGGAAAGCTGAGGTGGAGAGATGGAAGGGACAGATGCACAGTGCCCAAGCTCCTTGGTCGAGTACGTACCATTGCTCCAAGGGTAAGTACGTACCGCCAACGCTCGTCGTTTGCGCCTCAGACATTCAGGTCATCAAGCCTCAACCGCCGCTCGGAATTTCTCCCATCCAACACTCCTCATCCACCAGCTGACTTGCTGCCCAGCTATCGACCGGTGATCCTGGAGGACACTGATGGTATCAGGACCTGTCATTACGCGCCCGAGCTTCGTGCGGCAAGCTCATCCTCCTGCCATTCCCCAAGGTTCAGTTGCCAAAAGGACGTGATCGATGAACAGCTCACCGTCTACTGCCATCCATCTGTATGAGAGCCGTTGATACTGTGGGGAGACCATGCGGGAACCAGCGACATTGTATGGGTAGCAACGTGGTGGCTGACACCCGTGTGAGAAAAGAAAGCATAGTCGAGCCAGGCTCTCAGCCTCGACTTGTTAGCTCTCAGATTAGACGCTCAGGAGCATAGGTCAATCAAGCCTGTGACTGATCCCAGACAGGTGAGGATTCGGATAAACTATTTAACGGGTAGTTATGTCAAACCTCTCCTCTCCTCCCATTGCAGCATGCCTAGCCTTTGAGAGTTGGACATTTGATATCACCATGATGTATACTAGATAACAAGTCTGCACGTGCAAAATACTCCAGCTCTAGATTGAGCAAGCAAAGGTTGATCAAATTCGGCAGTCCGCTTCAAGCCTTAGCCACGGGATCTCACAAGAACCGCAGATGTTGGCCAGATGCTCAGGCTTCCAGTCCGGTCAATCCCAATCGAACTAAGAAATGCACCAGCCAACGACGACTATTTCAGCTAGCTTGAAGCCGCTGGAAGTGCTAAAATTACATAGCAATCGCCAGAGTGGAATGACGGCTAGGCCACGATGAGGATGAGGAATAGGCGATACAACTCAAAGGCCAGAGAGACGCTCAGATGGTCCTGTTTCGCGAAGCCTTCCGGCGGAACTCAATCAATACAGATTCAGCCTAATTTTCCCCTCACAGTCAAAACTCAATTACAAGATGCGGTTCGTACCCTTGGCCTCACAGACAAGCTCCATGTGCGCGGGGGCCTTTGTATTTCTATGTTCAAAGAAAAGCTTCATCACTTGACACCAAGGCCTAACGACGACATGGAACTAGTTACAAAGTATAGTTTCACCTTGCATCTTATTCAAAAGTTCTCCATTTCATCATGCCCTTCTGGTACTTGGTTCCTCGAACGCAGACAGCTCATGGAGTGAGAACCCGTTGGCAAGCGTGAGGTCATTCCAGAAGAATGTGGGAAAGCCACACTTTTCACCTCTACAGGCAAAGCTAAAGTGATCCAGAGCAGACACGGGCTCCCGGAAAGTGGATATCGGCTAAGAGGTTGAGCTACCGTTTGTCCCTTCCGACAGAAGCTCCAACGGAATCGCACTTGGTGCTCGTTGAGCATGGCCTCTTTCCAAAGTGTTGCTTTTGATTACTGGGGACGTGTGGACTACGGCCGCAGGAGTTCCAGATGAAAGGCAGCACTGATGAGTTGCATATTTCGTAGCTGAAGCAAAAAACACCCATCGCTGGTTGGAAAAGAGGTGCATGACGAGAGGGTTCCAGATTCGTGATCTCATTGTAATCGTGGATTATGTCAGCATCATGCATGACTAAGGAAGGTCGCCCGATGGCCCAGCGGGGGCCGCTATAGAGGCTTCCTTCCCTACGGGCGCTAAATCGCTAAAACGGACTTCAGCGGCGCTGGAAGCAACTGCACTGGCCGTGCGGCAACGGACCCGCCTTGCAGAGCTTGCGACACGCCGTGCCACCTCATCGTCGACATCGGCCGAGATTTGATGTCCCACCTACAACTACAACCACAACTAAATCATCATCATCACCCGCTCTTCTCCCCCCGAATCCCAGAGACGGCGAAGACCACCTGTCGTTTATGCGTATCATACAATAACACTCGCTACGATGCCTCTCAGCCATCGGCTCGGGCAGGCTCTTGCGGAGGCTCGATCCAAAGCTCGATCGGTGTACCACCTCCTGCGTGACCGCGGCGTCAACGATGAGGCACGCGTAGCTGTCAGAATACTTCTTGGTACTCTCCACAGTCTTTGGCTATTGTTCGAAGACTTTTCAGAACAAGGCACCTCGCCTGCGTGCCCAGACCACACCATTTTTGACGACTTGAGCGATCTTCTTGATAACCCCAGCCTTGAGTGGTCAGCAAGCTCGTCAACACCAAGCGAGCCCCCTTCTCTTTCAGCGTTTACCTCGGGTATCTACCGGATTCAGTGCCAGCTCGATTTTCTTGTCCGTTGCGACTCTTGGGCTGCCTTGCTCGTGCGCTTGTCGACGGATAGTCACCGCAAAGACGTTCTCAGCCAACACCTGGATCATACAGGCGAATTCATACCCAAGCCCACGGAGATCGATAGCGACAGATGTATTGCTATACTTCTAAACGCCGAATTTGACAAACAATTGACTGAATGCTTTATACACCGGCAATATGTCGCTGAGAGAGACATCAAGTGCCCGGAATATGGTGCGGCAGCAAAGCTTCTACCTGATTTGGCCCGCCAACGATACACCGATTACAAGACACCCCTCCACGTGCTTTTTCACTCAAGGAAGTCGTCGCACTTTCTTCAATGGCTAATGGAATACGCCAGACAGGAATGGCCGGAGCATTTCAACCTCAGCTCCGGTGCCCTCTCGATGACACCTCTGAATCTGCTGATGTCGAGACTCGAGGATGATTTAGTCACTCCTTTCCATGTTGCTGCGTCATTAGGGCTTCCACGGCTCTGCGAGCAACTTATATCATGGGGAGTGGACGTCAATAAGCCGAGCTCTATGGGCACCCCTCTTTACTGCGCATTGCTTGGTCCAACGGCCCTGTTAGGACGCTCTGCTGACCCCTCACAACTAGTGTCTGACTGCAAACCTACCGACTCTCAAGAGGAGACTATAAGGGTCCTTTTGGATTCAGGTGCTTCGTGTACTGTAGAAACAGCTGGCCCTTGCCAAGACGAAAAGTTCTCACTAGCAACATTGGCATTCCTCATTTGCCAGGCGATCCGTGCTCCAAAGATCCTACTTCAACTTCTCAAGTCGGGCATTAGCCTTGATCTGAGATTCGTACAGCTCTTCCATGGCAAGGATTCTCTTCTACAATACTGGCCATCACCTCTTAAGCCACCGACGCGTTCGTTTTTGGAGGGAATGCTCCCCGCGATCCTTGACAGAGCCATTCCCGAATACGACAGCTACAATGATATATCACTATTGGCCACAGGTATCTATGAGATCCTAGACCATTTCGATTTGGCTCGTCCTTCTAGTATTGCCAGGTCCCGACCTCTTGACGTCTCCGACACCCTGTATGTTGAACTTGTCCGAGAAGCAGTCCAAGATGGCGAGACTGCAGTTGTGAGAAGGCTCATCTTGGATCCTCGTTGGAATCCAAATGCATTGATGGCGCCTCAGAGAGCACTATCAATCGCGTCATCAGAAGATGAATTTGTTATGGGCGAGCCTCGAGATGAAACCACAATCCTACACTATGCGGCCGAGACCGACGAAATAGCTCTACTGGCTGCTATCTTGACATCGGGAGAAGATGTCAATGTCCATGTTCGCAACCACAAAGACCAGACACCCCTGATGTTGTCAGAGTCGCCCGAGGTCTTTAGGCTTCTTTTGGACCATGGAGCAAGAACCACAGACACCGATGAAAGTGGACGTAACGTTTGGCACTTCGCAGCCGCCAATTCAGACATCGAGCTACTGAACTGCCTTCAAGAGTACGACAAGCACAAAGACCACAACCTGAGAGCTGTAATGAATGACGGCCAGACCCCCATTGCCGAAGCCGTCCTCTATCCCTTCAGCTCCATGAGGAAAGGGCAAAAAATAACACCCGCAGCTTTAAAAGGGGCGATTCACATGCTCAAAATTTGCAGGCCAGATCTCGCCTACCTCAAAAGCTCGGAACCTCTTGTTCTTCTGGCTGTCGAATGTGGCTCGGCGGATCTACTCCGCAGCTTGGTTGACTTCGGCGCGGACCCCTTCGAAGTTGATGGAGTATTTCGGAATGCCCTGCACTACCTCAACGTGTCGGCTACGAAGCCTCTGATCGATATCCTTCTGAACTTGGACTTTGAGACCGTCCTCAATGCCCAAGGAATATCTCCGGCGGAAACCATCTTCCAGGTTTTCAACGACAGGGCCCTGTTTGGTCCCACGTCCGCCACCCACCCCGCCAGCTTTTGCACGCTAGATGCTGGCGTATACAGCCGCCTGCTTGACTACAAGAATATTCTCGCCAGCCGCGATGATACCAATACGGGGCTATGGGAGCGGTTTTCTCGCAACGTTTTTGCAACAGATGCTCCCAGATGGCCAGCAGGACTGACTGAGTCTGCGCAACCATCACTGCAAACTGCAATAGAGTGCTTGATCAAAAAAGGAGCCTTGACCAAGTACGAAGAGGAACGTGGACGGTGCGGTATCATTCCAATCTTCTCGAGGTGGACAGAGATTTCTGGCACCCAAAAACGATTACCCAAATGGCTGGAATCAATACTATTGCCAATTCTTGAAGCCACGACGAAAATAGACGAAGTGAGAGAATCGCCAGGTGTGGTAGAATTTATCACACAGGCCACTGAGCTGGAAAATCATGAAATTTCCCAGCAGTATTTGGACACGGGGGATCATGAAATGGCCCAACACTATCTGGATTTGGGGGATATGGTTCCCGAGTGATGCCATGCTCAGGAAACAGCTCAGGTGTTCCATGACATTGTGCGAAGCCAAAGCAGGATGGAGGAGGCTTCGGACTGCTCGAGGAGTAGGAGTGAATCGTCAGAGCGGTGGTCAGGTTGTAGGATATGAATCTTCAGGGATTAAAGTGCTTACTGGGCAGTTTTTGCTTTTGGAAAGTCTGGACCGGATCTTGAAGTGTCTGGACTCTGTGCGATGGCAATGGCAGGGACGAGCGGTGAGTACTGCGGTCCTCAGCGTGGACGAAGAGGGCAACGAGCTATTCAAAGACGGCGATCCATTTTCTGGGGGATGGACATTAGCGTAAAATGCATAGCAGAGCGTCTCTCTTGCCATACCTTGTTTTCAATACCAAGATGGTTTCAACAATAGCCCTACTCTTCCGTGAGATTGGAGACAGCACAAGGCTCATCTAACGGGATACCTGATTTTGCCGCCGTCCCTTGCCGCCGTCCCTTCTTTCCCGAATCATAGTACCGTGAACCTATATGAGGAGTATGACTTCACTCATCGCGATCTTCTCCCAAGGTAAGGTAACTGACATTGCGATAGTCAGAACGGCAATGGGCATCTCTCGCGAATACACCTGTGCATATAATCAACAAATAACAAGCTGAAGACGAAAAAAAGAGTTCACCACCGGTATGGCTACATCTCTTGGCGATTATCATGATGCTCATGCTGGAATTCGAAATCGGATACTTTCGCTAAGCCTGTCGTCGAGTAGGCTGGTTGGCGTAGGTTTGATTATTGACCATTAACCATTCCACCACCCAGACAGTTTGACCTGACCAACCGACCTAGGAAGGCGCCTGCTGTGCTTGTGACGGGAACGGGATTGGAGGGGGGTATATAGGCTTGTAGGTTGCCTTCGTGGGTATATACTGAATGAATATATGAACGCGTGGGAGGGCGAATGATTCACTGCTGAGATGAACTTTTAGTATCAAGGTAGAGTAAGCGTTGTCAGTTGGGAAGTAGCTCAAGGAAAACTCTTATGAGGAACTTGATGAAATGATCCGCTTTCCGGCATTGCATCAACATGATGCCGTTCCTTTCCCCTATCTGAAAAACCAAGTCCATCTGCGATAGGGAAAGGAAGGGAGTAGTTCAGGTCGTCGATCTTGAATCCTGCTTTTCAGTTGTGAATGATACATCTATAGAAGCCCTCAAACTAATGCAGTATACCGGTGTTTGAAGTTTCGCGGTTTTGGTTTGCATGTATACATTGTGACAGGGTTGAGATTTGCAAGCAGCATCGCCATTACTATGACCAGTGAACAGAAACACAGCATCGAAGCCCGGCTTGGCTTGGATTTACCTCTTCTCACGCGCTGAAAGATAAAAGACATGCTTTTGCTGGTTGCTAAATCCTAAGATCACCTAAGAATACCGCTCTGACTTCCCTTGTTGAATGCAATCTGCTCTCCTCTGACCTCCGCAACGCCAACTCTCTCATAAACCTTGCAGGGTCCGTCAATGGCGATGGAGTGCACAATTATTATGTAGTGTGACTGTTGAGGGTCGCCCTGTGAATCTTTCTTCCTCGCCACAATGACACACTTAAGGTTCGAGAGCCTTCTGTCTGGATTGTCGAGCTCCAGACAAAGGCTATCAGAGCCCCGAAAGTCCCACAGAGGCGCCCTGATCTCACATACCGCTTCTTTCTCGCTTCTTTCTTCCATACTCTGAGATGACCAAGTACTAAACGGCGAGATGATGTCCGCTTCCCAAGAATACTTGTTGAAGGGAACATTCAAGTATTTGATCTCGCCGTCATAAGCCATCCACGACCATGATGGGACATGAATCCCTCGAAGCAGTTCTGAATCGATCCGACTCAGAGACAGGCATGCCTTTTTCCACAGCAGACATCGATGAAAGAAAGAATCGAAAACTCCATGAGAACCGACAGTTCTGAAAGTGCGGATAAGACGTGCTTCAAGCCCACGGATGGCAACTGGCCTGTCACCAATGGAGCTAAGTGCTAACCCCGAGTATTTCTGATAAAGGTCTTGGTAAAGCTCAATCTTCATCCCGCGAACGTAGGTGTCAATGGAGTGTGGAAAGTCCGAATCTCCCAGGAACGAGGCCTTGCGGCTGATACATCCAAGAGTCAGTCAAGCGAGTCTAGCTGAAAGCATTGGCAGACCCGTCTGGACTCACTTTCTCATTTTTGTCATTGTTTCACACCTTACGCCTCTTCCACATTCCCAGTATGTCTGCTTTTCCGAGAAATAGATTGTGCGACGGGATAGAGCTCGTTCTTGAAGAATCCACGCCCGCTTGTTCAACTCCCCTTGTTCTACATCACGCCCAAAGTCATCGATAGAGTCGCAGACGTAGTAGGAACCCCTTTCGGATGCTAACGTAACACAGTGTCGCCATGGTCGAGGTTTCAAAAAGCCATCCTCGGTCCCGCTTGCGCAGCTAGCTGCTAGAGTTGCGTAAGCTGAGCTGTACACCTGTTCCATTAAAAGAGACTCCGTCTTCCAGTCTTCAGGGTCATCTTGAACGATACAGAGCGAATCAATCCAGAGGTACCCGATACCGAGTCTTCGTGTGACGTTGATAGCATCTTGAAATGTTTGGGGCAGCTCCGTCAGCTTGATTTCGTCTTTGAAGCTTTCAAGATTGTCCTTCAAAGTGCAGAATTTCCTATGTTGATCCGGGGCCCCCCATCGATGCGATAGGGCGAGATATTTGCCCGAGTTTGTTTGCCCACGGTCTGTACAAAGCAAGCGGCATGATTTAAAGCCCTCGGATCGGACGTCGATAACTCGTGTTGGGAGAAAGGTGGTGTCGAATGCTGGGCTACAGTCATGCGTATTGTCGCAGACCCGTATCCACGTCGAAAGCGCTGCGATATGCGCCTGACTACCGGCAGCCGGAAGCACTGGTATTCCCATCTGTGAACCAAGAAAGGCTTTTCCTTTAACATAGATCAGCACGAGATAACTCGATGAAACTAGCGCTGGTTGTTCTAACCTGGCAAGCTGTATAGGACTGCAACTGGCCGTCCGGGTTTCACGCTTGATGTCAAATAGCTGTTGAGCTTTTCAAACTGAATCTCCCCGTATGTTTTGGCTGTCATGGATCCAAGTGAAAAGCGAAGGAGGCGACAGAGATCACAGGCCTCTGCTCTGCTTGCCAGTGCTTCGAGATCATCAGAAAAAGAGAATCTTTGTGACCTGAGCCGCTGTTGGAGGTCTTTGCATCGAGAACAAAGAGTGTTGGTCGCATTTTTCAGTGGAAGCTGATGAGAAATGTCGATCTCCTTAGACAGCGCTCGTGCTGTGTTGACATCCGGGCTACACTCCCACTCATTATCAAGCTAAGAAAACATTTCTGATCAGAATTTGTGACTCTTCTCGAAATCGCAAGGAGCTTACCGGCTAGACAGAGTTGCATTGTCAGAACATGGAAGCCAGGCCACATGACCAGATATCAGACTTGTAGGTAAGTTCTTCAAGCTTGAGTGTCAAGACATACCGTCTGTTGCATCAGTGACCATTAGTAAAGTCACATTTTGCTAGTGGCTGAGAACGTACAAACTATATGAGATGTCAGCTCTCGATATCGATATTTGAAGGTTGTTAGAGCATATACAGTACCATCTATGCCGTGTAAGGAAGTGGTTAGCCAAGATCGCGCAGACTTAGACCGCTCAAGGCGGACGTACGTACTATCGATATCAGTATACAATATTGCACAAGGTGGGATACGGGACTTTTACATCGTCAGAATGGCCACTATCACCTGCACCCGCCAATCCGGCATCGATGTCTACCAGGGAATTGGTTATTGGAGGAGAACGAGACCCTAGGAAAGTTACTCTTCACCTCATGCATTAACGCCGCGTCGACCCCTTATACCTAATTGAGAAACACCCAACGTATCTCCGTATTGTCCCGGTCCTCCTGGAGAGCTCGCCTGCCAATTCATCCAAGCAATTCTGGGCGGGTTTCCTGAAGCATCTTTAACGATGCCAGCCAGCGTTTCGTACATTTCAATAGAAGTCGCCCGAAAACGAAGGTCGTCGGCGGGATCGCCGTTGAAGCTGCTGTTGGTGTCCGATCGAACAATACTCGGGTTATCTGGGTCATCTGTCGCATGTAGAGTGGTGCTGCCTTGGGCACTGACGCTTCCAGATGACTCTTTTCTCGACTTGCTTACCTCTATGACTAGCAATCGCGTGCAAATAAGCTCCAGTAACTTTCGGATTGCAGTGTTCGGTGGGCATCTTGGGTCTCTTCTGATCCAATCTATCCACTTCTGAACGCCGGGTTTGATACTGGCCGCTCCGGCCACTCCAGATCCATGTACATCAAAGAATTGCCGTGTTCTGTTCACGGGATGCGCTATGTCGTCACCAAAGCGAACTAGTTCGGCCTTTCCATATAGAAGCCAAATCAGGAACTCGAAATAGATACAGCCGATGGACCAAACGTCATAACGTCGGGATCGCGGTTGTTTCTTAGTGAACAGCAGTACAGCTTCAGGTGGCTCGTACATAACCGTTCCGCTCATGGTGCGCGTAGCTTCGTTACGCATCTCCGTCGCTAAGATGTGGACTTTAGCCAGACCAACATCCGCAATGACGAGAAACGGCTGAGAAAACGGGTCAGAGGTCCTGGTGTTCTCAAAGCAAAGGATATTCTCTGGCTTCAGGTCACCGTGCCGACATGCCGAGTCCTTTGTCGAATGAAGCTTGTTCATCGCACTAGCTAGGCCGCAGAGCTGGCCGAAAACCCAGCCAACAAAATCTGCATCTAGCTTACGCGGAGGCTCTTTTCCCCAGTAGTCTCGGAGGTTGCCACCTTCGGCCCAAGGGAAAATTATAAAGTAACGATCACCCCTTTTGTAGTAAGCGATTGCTTTGATGAGGTGCGGATGCTTCATTTCGCGGATCATTTGTAGAACTTCTGCCTCGGCCTCGGCTGCGCGCTCGTACTGGTCAGGATTCATGTTGACAAGTTTCAGCTCTTTCACTGCTACAACCGGATGTCCATGTGTATCGACTGATAGGCGCTGTATCATATGAGAGTCGTATTCATGAAGCCCAAGGCAATGACTTGGTCGTGGGTTTGTTTGCACTTACAAGTTTCGAGCTCTTCTTGAAATGAGACTGATGGATAGACCACTTTCCCACCGTGCTGAAATGACTTTCTTTGTGTCCACCAGCTTGCTCTAAGAACGGCATTCGGTGTTCCTTTCGAAAGGAGTATCTGAATTGATGTTCGTTGAAGACCGGTCCAAGAAATTGCCATTGGTTGTCACAAAAGAGATACGGTGAAATAACTAATGCCCAAAACTTGTCGGCAAAAACCCTTTTGGTGATCTCAGAATGTCCAGTTTCAGTGGATCGGGTTCTCACTTGCTTGCTTTCATCGACGAAGAGAGGTAGAATAGGGTCGACAAAATTGTGCTCGTAGAACAAGTCAATCCGTTCCGGGCGACCAAGGCAGGCAAGAACCGCGAAAACTCTCCTTGCCCCAGGCTTTCCACAAACGAAGGAGGCGATCTTTGATATAGTCTCTGGCGACTTCCTCGTGTGATAGGATAGGGTGTCTGTGACCAACTGCGTAGTCACCTTTTTTTCCAAGACGGAGTATGGAAGAAAGGTATTGCCTCCGCATGTTCCTGCAGGAAGCTGTGCCGAGACCAACTGGCCCTGAAGATCGGCCATCTCGTCACTCTGGTCACTTTCGTTACTACCTCTCCGAAGACTGGCAAAGGACGACTTCTTCCACAACTGAGACGGTATACTCGATGTTCTCCTGGCGTATATGGTGATTGAAGACACACGGCGCGAGATCGGATTCGGCGAATGGTCGAGGTCCTCGTCTTTGTACTGCACTGCTCGAGTTTTCTGAAGAGGCTGCTTGTGAGAATTTTCGACTCGGCAATTGTGCTCAGGTGCTTCTCCCTTCTTTGACTACACATTCAGTTATATGTCGCCGATATCTGCATCTTGGCATGCCAATGGGTCCTACTCACATGTGATGATAACCAATGACTACCACACAACAATGGTAAGCCTTGCATTTCATATATACTTCAGCGACCGGCATAGCCTACACATCACAGATGCAGGCGAAGTTGGATCTTGCGCGATTGGACTTGTCCAGAGCATGCAGCAACGTACTTATGCAGATACGAATTGATAGGCTTACTGGTTGATATTTGCCATTTTTCATTGCAGATTACGGTTTTCCCCTCCTTTGCTCGGTACCACACCCTCCATGACTACTTTATTGGTTCTGGTCGCCTTTTGGTGTACACCCTTTCGCCTAGAACCAAGTCCGAAGTTCGATTTCCCATACATAACGTGCACATTCCAACCAACGACACGATGATACTTGACCTCTGCATGCCACCAAAGCTGGCGCGCGTGGTTCGCATGCTTGCCGCATCGACCAAGCTAAATCAGGCTCGGAGTTGAGAGAGAACCAAATTCTCCAGACTCCGCATGCCAGCTGCAACTTCTAACCGATACGCACATTGCCAATAGTGTGATGGCTGCGTAGAGCCACATCAGGAAGCTGTCAGCATTGGCCGAGAGCTCAGGCTAACACTTTCCAAGTTCCAACCTCGTCCGAAAGAGTCACAGTTTGGTGAACTCGAATGCCACCTCGGAATATGCTGGATAATACAAAGAGTTACCAAAAAGATCGACATGAACCTTGGGGCATGCCATAATAATGAACGAGAAGTCCCAGATCTCCCAAAATCTCGAAGTGCCTGTTGATATCCGCAGAAACAAGACAGCCTAGTGATGGGGTTTTCTTTTAGGATCAGGCTGTGAGCATGGCAGCTAACCCCCTGACATGCATGTACTGCGATGACGTGAGTCTGGCCAAGGCCGTGCACCAGCACAGCCAAGGAGGCGGGGTAAGTGCATCTTATCTCCTGGCAGAGCCTGCAGACTTTCTCCAACGCCAAATCAGGCTCTAACGAGCAGCTTATCATTCGCTTCGTTGAGGGTGTCATGATCAGAGTTCGTCATTGGATCGCGATGTCTTGGTGGTGGTCTCCAGTCTGCCGCACACATGAAAGGGGCGCCAACTAATTCCGGGCATCCCCGACTATAAGACTGTGGATCAGCGAAGCAGCTCCTAGCGAGACTTCAGGTGTCTCTTAGATCATCCGTTTATGTACAGAGTCACAGAGTGTACATGGGCTGCGTCAAAGCCATGTCACTGAAGCGTGATGGTTCCGAAGCAAAGGGACGGAAAGACATGGGAGTCCCCTCGGCAGTTTCGCTGATAGTTACTTCAGCCTGGCGGACGCTTATGTGGCTGCCTTCATGGTCGCCTCAATTTACAGCCTGTTCTATCTCGTACCATCGCTGGTCATGGTTTATGCTCAGGGTTTCATAAGAAGCCCGCGATTGTCGGTGGGCCGTCCTGGTGAACCCAACCTTCAACCCCAGTCATTTCTGAATGCGATCCCCAAGCCTGACGTCCAGAAAAGGCATCTCAACGAGCAATGGCTTCTCAAGCTCTGTTTTCAAATTTGAAAGATTCTCTTCAGTATTCTTCTGTCGTGAGCCAGGAATTCTTGCCAATCAGCAAACTGAATGATCTCGTCACTAAGGAGGCCGTTCAGAATGAGCTTCCGAAAGGCCTCATGAGTAGGCTATTTTCGGACAGCCTTCCAAGCAAAATCTCGATGACCGCAAGACGAATCTTCGCAATTCTTGTGATGATCGGAGAGCCCCAGGCAATTCGAAAGCTGGTCGACGATGGTCTTACCGATGACGATTTACCGCTTGCTAGGCCAGCTCATGACAAGCACAGTGGTACTTTGGAATCTAAGGGAAGACTGGAAGTCAGGGCGTTCAAAGACTGGAAAAATGAAGCCAAGGTGGATATGTTCCTGGAAAAGCAGTGGCTCTTCCTTGCCCCAACACTGGATGTCACAGGGACATCCGCAGTCTTTCAAGTGGATTCAAAATGCCCGCTTCCATTCTTGAGGGCAACCGAACTTCGAGGTGAACACAGCAATGTTGTCTACAAGAGTGAGCTGCATGCGGCTCACCAAACCGGCTCTGGGGTAAGTCCGAATTGTTTCTTTTAACAGTACAAGACTCAGGTGCTGATCATCGATATGCAAAGGCGCAAAGCACGGACAAGGTGATTGCAGTTAAGGTATTTCACAACTCTAATAGCTTTACCTTGTTCGATCAGGAAAAGAAGAACCTCCTGAAGACGCAAGGTATAAAGGACAGCCATCTCATTCGATACTTGTTCTTCTGCAAGCGAGACCAGTCTTACTTCATAGCCTTTCCATGGGCAGAAGGGGGGAACCTCCAGGAGTTCTGGATGTTACATACGTCAAATCAGGAGTATATGCTGTGGTCTCTGCAACAGATGCTTGGAATCAGTGGTGCCCTTCGCAAGCTGCACGACATCAATTTCCGTCATGGTGATCTCAAGCCCGGAAATATCCTTCACTTCCCTAACGGCGGGCTAGGCAATCTTGTCATCGCAGATGTCGGGATTTCCAAGGTGCACAAAGCTGCGACATACATGAGATCTATGAGCACCCTCACCAGAGCTACTACACCGTCATACGAGCCACCAGAAGCCATCCTGAAGACCAATAAGCCCAGGCCGCGTAGATACGACATTTGGTCAATGGCATGCATATATCTCGAATTCGTCATCTGGATGGTCTACGGGGTCAATGCCATCAACAGCTTTGCCGAATCCAGGGAGGAAGGGACGTCAGTTCAGAGGACTTCAAACTTTTACGCGCTTCGGGAAGACATTGCGGTGATCCATCCTTCGGTAATCGAAGCGTTTGCAGCTCTGCGAAGTGATCCCTGTTGTGCCGGTAACACAGCGCTAGGAGCCCTAGTCAATCTGATTACCCAGCACTTGCTCTTGATTCAAGTGGACGATCGCGTTACCGCAGACATTCTGTATGAGAAACTTGAAAAGATCGTCCACCGCGCGACCAAGGACCCCTCTTTCATAACGAATCAAGCAATATACCCTCAAGAGATTCCAGCTATATTTGGGCGGCCAGTTGAGATTCCTTCAGGGCTGAGACCAGCCACCAGCTGGTAGTGACAAGAGAGTTAATGAATGTGAAGGGAATGTTTTGCTGTTCATATTTCACGTATTACTGGGATCTTCTGCGGGTGAAATTCACCTCGGCACTATTTATTATTTTATCATTTAGTTCTTTTTTTTTTTGAACTAATCCGCGCCTTTTCGAAATTTGGAACGATGCGACAAATTCACATTTGGAAATTGTCGTACTCATTCGAAGTAGATTAATACACGAATACTTTACCTCTATGCCGGATATCTGACCATAATGCTGTTGTGAGTTAGTGGAATTACTTCACATCGTTAGAACGCGCTTACGCAACAGTGAATAGCCTGGAAGACAATCTTTACATTAGTGCAAGGCTTTCCGGCTTTCGTGAGTGAGATTCTCCACCAAAAATAGATGCGAATCGAGCCCTGATGTCATTTTAGGTAGACTGCGCGTGATCATGAGATAAGAGCCTGAGCAGCTTGTATGATTGGGTGCCTTGCTGCTTCAACGAGTTCCCATGCCGGAGGTGCGCCGCTAGAACAGACCTATTTGTGGTCAGAGGGCCCCTCAAGTTGGATTGCGTTGGAAAAACTTGAGGGCATCGGCCCAAAGCTTTGGTTGTCATCGTTTCTATATCATCATGTCCAACTATATCAAAATCACTGACGTCGAATTGACAGATCAGCCATCAGGAGGAGCGCCGAAGCAGGCTCAAAAGTCGGCTCGTCACGGTGCTGTTCCCAGATCCTTGGCAAGTGGTGAACAGCAATTCACTCACGAAGTCAGAACGAAGCGATGGTGGTCAAGGATGGGCAAAAAAGGCTGGCTGATCCTAGCGTTAGGAATGGTTGTGATACTCATCTCGTGTACGGCCCTCGCGCTTCTGTGGAACGGTGCTGTGATCGCGGCGTCTGGGGAAGAGCCGTCAGAACTATGGAAAGCTGTAGTTTTCAACGACTGGGCTCCGACTGTCATTACGATATGTTCAGCTGCTATCAGGACTTCGATGATGATGCAAGCTGGACTCATCACAGCGGCAATATCGGCTCTGATGCTCGAGAGTTCACGAGTATCTCTCGCTGACGCTGCGGTAGCGTCTATCGAGAGAGCAGCTAGTACTGGGCCATTTGCCATCTTCTTTCCAGCGGCAAGACAAGGTAACAACCTGCCAGGGCTATATCATCTCCTTTTTGTGATTGCAGCCTCAGGAATAATGGTGACCTCGACCTTCTTCTCGACCATTCTGCTCTCCGACTTCCAAACTCTATCAATATCAGGACCAGCAACGAACATTACAGTCTCTGTGGCGTTCAGAAACGACGGCACCGAGCTACGCGGAAGCGGTGTGTCACTTTTCAAATCTAGCCCAGCCACGTATTGGAGATACGGGGAACGGAACGATGACGGAGCTCTGTCCGGCCCTGATATTGTCGATACTGGCAACGTCTATCGCGCTCTTCTGCCGTCAATAAACGCCACGGCAAGAACAACACTTGAATACTATAACGGACCTGTTATCATCGCCAACTCTAGAACATTTTGCTCGGCTCCGGATTTCGAAACTTTGGAGGTTTACAATACCAACTCCGATGGCCTATTTGGAGTCAAAGTGGATGCATCAATACCCATCGGGAAGCATCTCAAAGGAGATACTTATAAGGACGCGATCTTTCAGATGAGTTTCGACTGCCGCCTTGCGCGTATCGGAGGTCACTACAAGGACGAAAGTCACAAACCAATCTACGACAGCAACCTATGGCCACTTACATTTTGTCCGGGTCGATATTGGGATGGTGATGGTTTCAAAGGTCTTTCAGAACCAGTGAAGGGCACAGAGTACATGTTCCATGTCATACTTGTTATCAACTCCAGCCAAACCATTTATGAGAAATATGTCGACGTGGACAACCTGTCCCCTGTTTATGATAAAAGCGGAGTTTGGACGTCCATCCAGGACAACTCCAGCTTTCCGCTCTTCAACGCCAGCCTCTGCTTCACAAATGTCGCAGAGCCCGCCGTCTATAACGCAACCATGCGAGGACAACCAATTTTGCAAGAACCCCAATTCAACTGGAACAGCATCAAATGGAACACCAGCTCCATCCGCCGCCAGTTGGGTATCGCGAGTCCCGCAGCCCGTAGCTCCGCCGCCGTCTTCACAGAGCGCGGCATCATGCAACTCATCTCCTTCACTCTTTCCTCGGAAGAAAAGCTTTGGTGGACAGTCAGCGCTCACGGCGTACTGATGGAGTCCCTCAGCGCAACTTTGGAGACACGGGGTTGGAACATGTTGAACGGCGCCTACCTGGGCGAGACTTGGAGTACGAGGAGCCCGGAGCACGAGCAGGAGCAATGGACGCCTCACTCCGCGCACGTTACACTGTTCCAGGACATCTTGCAGACGACAGAGGATCTATCGCGAGCGGTCCAGGAGATGGTCGCGAGGTTACATCAAATGGCGTACTACGAGTCTGAGAATGGGTATAATCTAGAATATCCCGTTACGACTGTGTCTTCGAGGAGCACCTATATCCCGTTACGGTGGACAGGCTTCAGTATCGTGCAGGGTGTAATTGCGCTCCATCTTGTACTATTGCTAACAACGACGGTGCTGTTCTTGACACGGACGCGAGCTTCGTCACTAGGAAATGCGTGGAAAACGGTTGCGCAGGTTGTCTCGCCGCATACCAAGGAGATAGGTGATAAGGCGGATAGGTTGATGGATGATGAAGTTAGAGAGAGGACAGTTTCGACCGGGGCGGACGTTTTTGGCGTTGGGATTCGCCGCTCGGCTGATACAAGTAGGGTGGAAATTCGCCCGGCAGCCGTAAGGGCTCGTCGCCTGCTTGGTCGAGACCGGGGGTAATCAAAATTATTTCTTGTTGGAACTTTGCTATGGTATCTCGAGCTCTAGCAGGTCTCTGTTTCGCCAAGTTTTTCTATATCGAGATCCCCGAACTTGAATTTCCCGTCTTTAGTTCTGTATAAGTTTCCAAACTGCTGACCGTTGACAAATCAGTAATCACCCTGAAAACTGATCTCGTCTACATGCAAAATGAACTTCTACTCGCACGTAGCTTCTGATTCGCAGCATATCGAATCATACCTCGTACCTTGCTCGGAACATGCGTTGGAAAACTCTTCCCAGACTGCTCCGGTTCTGTGCAAGGGTTCCTCGACTTGTTGCAATTCCCCCATAACTTTAATCAACACCGATTCAACTTAGGTAGGAAGGACCAGCGGAGCGAGTCAAAGTTCGGCACGACACACTCGATTACAGTTCGCATGTACTTGAGCAAACTCTTACCAATGTGAACAGCTGTGGCGTAGCTGTTTGAATCACTCAGTTCGGGCAGCTCGTCTTGGAATGAAGTATCCTCATATCTTGATCAGGCAAAACCACACGCCCCTTTTTCTTAATTCCTTGAATTGAAGAAAAACTTCATCATTTCGCTAGCATCGTGATACAAAATTTCCATTGCTCACGTGTAGTGGCAACCCTTGCCGGTCGGACCAGGCACGTGGGGACTAGCTACATGACTCAGGCGACTAAGGTCCAAGGTCCTGTCTCTGAAAGGGGTTGCCACTCATGACCTAAGCCTCCCGGCATTTCGTGAGTCTAGACCGCGCTGCCAGCGGACCGCGCAAACCAAACATAGCGCCGAAACTGAACATGTGGTTCTCAATGAGGCGGTACGGATAGAACTGGGCATGTAGTCATGGGAAGACCCTTGGTTTAAGCCCCTGGCGGAACAGATATTTACGGCAGCAGAGACACAAACAAGATCTCTGGTTGGCCGAGCTCGGATGACAGCAAGCTGCAGCGAATCGGGTGCTTCCGAGTGGGAATCCACACCACCAAAGGGAACTCTCAAGTCTTATGCAGGATCTTCGGGTTGGCCCTAAGGCCATCCTACGGCACTAGTTTTCTTGCAACCTCACGAACAGCTCCGTGCCATTGTGTCATCCCGATCGATATGGCGGTTCATCACCATTTCCGAAGGCCAGCACATCATCCGAAAGACGCGTCAAAGAGAAAAGGGAAACCACATGACGACATGTGCATAGTTCCATATTGCATACCGTCCGCAAGCCAAGGCCGCGCAGGGACTCACAGGGAGTCCCCTGACGAATGACGGCAAGTATCCCGATTTTGTTAGGTAATAGGAAGCCGGGCCCTAGCGAACTTGCGCCAAAATATGGTGTGCTAGCACGTTCATGGAAATTCGATCTGCTGCTTCTCGTGGAGCGGTTTCGGCCCAAGTGGAGTTTGATGGATACGAAAAAGTATTTCCGGTATGAGAATCTTTCCAGGTTACCGGAGGGTCCGGGTGACAAGCTGCCGACGTCGTGAACCGCCGGTCCGGTTCTACTTATAAGAAAGGGGTCTTCCCCCATACTTTTCCCCACGATCCACTTGTGCCTCCCACAAGGTCAGAATTCTTCTTTGGTAATACATATATTGTGCTTTTGTATCTTGTTTTTCCTCTTTCCCTCTTGGCTCCATTCTGCTCCGCTGCCAAGTTGGAAGATATTCGCTCGCTTTCTAACCGTCGATGCAATGGCGGGAATATCACAGTCCTCTTCCGATGATGACCCTGGCCCCGAGCCCGGCGGTATCGGCTCGTCCTCAACGCCAGCACCTGAGCCGGTGGAATCCGCTTCCGAGCCAACATCTGGCTCCGACACGGCCGGGACAAGCACGCCTTCCGAGGCCGCAGCTGCAGCCGCCCTAAGAAAAGAGAAAGGCCGCGTCAGATTTAACAGCAACGCGGCCGCGACCAAGCCCCCTACATCACCACCAGCAGTTCCAACTACACCCAAGCTTGCTCCCGCACAGCCCACCAGACCATCTATCTTACGAGGTGGCTCAGGCAGTTCTATTCCGACTGTGGCTACCTTTACTAAAGAGGAACCCCATCCGCCGGATGAGAATGAACGTCAAGAAGCCAAGTCTGCTGCAGCTGCTGCTCAAGAAAGAGCTCGGCAGATGGCTGAAAATGTTCACTTCGGTTCGCCGACCCGCGAGAACCGAGACTCCCTTGAGTCCGCCACTACCACCACCGCAAGCGAGTACGACCTCGGAGGAGGGGAGGGAGCCGGAGGATACATTGCTCTTCAAGATCTCCACTCCCGCCAGCCACTCAATGGCGATTCTGCTGAGGCTGAGAAGAAAGCCCACGAGCACCATGCCGCCCTGAACGACGAGGCTTACAAAATTGTGAGAGCCCACACCTGGCGCCTCGCCGAGAAATCGGAGAGCGTTGCCGGTCCGTCCAATGCCCAGGAAGCAGAGATCCACAAGGTCACAGAGCATCTCCTACAAGAGATCAACGATGGTCAATACGATGGTGTTTACTCTGTCCCCGCACCCACGGAGTACCGCGGGAGTGTTCTTTCGCAGCTTCTGAAGCTGTATAAGCCTGCGGAATCAGGCAATCAGTACCAGTCGTCCGGGCAGACCAACCGCAGCTCCGTCACCTCTTTCTCCTTTGGTGGGCCGCTGCCAGGAGCTGGCACGCCGGGCTCAAACTCAGGCACCGCGACCCCAACGACGCCCAAGAAGAAGAAGTGGTACGAGGCAAACCGCTCCCAGGAGACCCTCGTCAACCTCATCGAAGCTTCGGCCCGCCTCGCAAACCCTAATACGCAAGGGAAGACCGACGAGTCGCCCAAGAATGGTAAGGCGGCTGGTAAGAAGACGCGGCCGAAGCACAAGCGAACCGCCAGCAACTCCATCGCTGCGTACCTAGCGAGACAAGAGGAGGAGGCCAAGATTACCGTCCACATCGCCGAGACGCTTTCCAGACAGGAGTACATCATCACACTCTGCAAGGCTTTGATGCTCTTTGGTGCACCAACGCATCGTCTCGAGGAGTACCTCAGCACAACGGCCAAGGTCCTTGAGATTGATGGTCATTTTCTGTATCTCCCAGGATGCATGATTATCTCTTTCGACGATCGGTCCACCCATACAACCGAAGTCCGCATCGTCCGCGTAGCCCAGGGTATCGACCTCGGAAAGCTCAGAGACGCGCACCACGTCTATAAGGAAGTCATTCACGATGTCGTCAGCGTCGACGATGGCATTCAGCGGTTGGATACCCTCATCAAGGCCAAGGACAAGTTCCACGCCTGGATCCGAGTCCTTGTCTTTGGCTTGACCAGCGCCACGGCTGCCCCCTTCTCGTTCGGCGCTCGCATGATCGATCTCCCGCTATGCTTCTTCTTTGGCTGCCTCGTCGGTTTCCTGCAGCTCATCGTGGCCGCCAACTCCAAGCTATACAGTAACGTTCTCGAGGTAACGGCTACCGTCCTGGTAAGTTTCTTGGCACGAGCCTTCGGCAGTATCAAGGGCAGCGAGCTCTTCTGCTTCTCGGCCCTGGCCCAGGGAGGCATCGTCATGCTTCTACCTGGATACCTAGTTTGTAAGTGACCTCTTCGCACTACCTACCCCATCGTGATATCCCACCCGAGCTGTACCTCCTTTTCCTCTGCGCTTCTCGCGTACGTGTTGGGGATGCTACTTGCCTACGGGCACCAAAAACCTAGGACAAGCCGCTGATGGCCCAGTGTGTTCCGCCCTCGAGCTCCAGTCCCGCGCCATCGTCCCCGGTTCGATTCGCATCGTCTACGCCATCATCTACTCCCTTTTCCTCGGCTTCGGCATTACCATCGGCGCCGTCCTCTACGGCATGTTCGACGAAAACGCCGTCTCCACGACGAGCTGCACCAACTCGATCCCCACCTACTACACCTTCATCTTCGTGCCCCTCTTCGTCCTCTGCATCAGTGTTCTGTATCAGGCAAAATGGCGCCAGATGCCTGTCATGCTCGTCGTCGCCTTCGCCGGCTACATTGTCAACTACTTCAGTAGCTTGCGCTTCAGCGCCGCGCCGCAGGTCGCCAATGCCCTTGGTGCTCTCACGGTCGGCGTTCTGGCGAACCTGTACTCCCGTCTGAGGCACGGCGTCGCGGCAGCTACTCTCATCCCGGCCATCTTCACGCAGGTGCCCGGAGGTCTGGCGTCTACTGGAGGATTGCTAAGTGGTCTGAGTGCGGCCAATGCAATCACCAACTCTACGCACGCCGTCAATGGCACAAGCTCTGTTCAATACTCTGGAGGCGAGTCCCTGAACACGGTCGTATTCAACGTTGCCGCCTCCATGATCCAGATTGCTATTGGTATTGCCGTTGGTCTGTTCATCAGCGCGTTGATCATCTACCCGCTCGGCAAGCGTCGCAGTGGTCTGTTCAGTTTCTGAACATGTGCCAAGCTCCGCGCCTGGCATATTCAACTGCCACTCCGTAGTCTTCTCTTCAAGTCCTGTTCTCTTTTTTAGCAGCATGTCTAGCTTCTTAGTCCATCGTATTCCACTGGACCATTCCATGTAGTTCAACAACCTGAGTCAGGCCATTACTGGCGCCCTGCACTAATTCCAGGTCTTCCGTAGCGATCATAGTACCAGCCCTTCAAGGGGAAACAACAGCGAAAGTAAAAGTCATGTACGTATGTAGATTTTTATAAAATTGGGAAAATGCAAGGCGTTGGGGTAGATAGCAAAGGACTCAGTCATTACCGACGATCTCGTACTTTAATCTAGCTGCCTTTGCTGTAATGAAAAAGCTTTTATGAGTGCTGACGTCGCAACAATCTCTTGCATCGTGTTAGGGGCGTCCAAAGTAACGGAGTTTCCTTGCTTTTCTACTATCATCCACAGCGATGCAGCAAGGAGGCAGCCGAATTATCCTCCGCAATGCACAGGGTGAGCTAAGAGATTAGCGCTAGACCAAGTCCCTGAAACTGATGAATAGGTACAGTAGCTTCAATGGAGGGAGGGAGGCATTGCGGCAACAGCGTTGGACGAGAGAAACGGTGATGGACCCATACTCACGAGCAACTTCAGCATTGAACAAATGATGAGGTACAGCGACATGGAGACGTCCTATCGTAGCTAACAGTATACCTTATCGCGATCTTTGACCAAACTCATCAATCGCGATTGTTATGAACGAGATCTTGGCGAGACGCAAGAGGCGGAAGTGCGCCACACAATGTCTTAGACCCGGCCCGAAAGTTCGCACTCAATCTTGGTCTCAGTTTGATGTACGGAATGAGATAACAGTGCGAAGATCACCGCCCAGCGCGCCTGAGATTCATGCACGCTGGCAATATGTGAAAGGGTCGACGACGTCAAGGGCTCATGCTTTCAGCATATACCGTTTTCAAGGAGCGAATCACTGCCCATCACGATGCTTCATCTGACTTCACCTGTTACACGGCTCTGCTGAGGCTACACAACATCGTCGATGTCTTTGATCACGACAAGCAACCTGAGTTGGGACCACGATACGTGCGCATGAGAGACGTTGAGAAACGACGTCATGTATACTTGATTACACACGCACATAACGAACTTCTGTACGAAGCAACTCTGTCGGTAGTCCTTTTGAAGAACTTTGACATTGAGTCTCAGCATGACCAGGCACAGGTTTGTCATTGAGACACACTTCGCCTCCTTATGTATAAGCTCCCAGTGCCTCTTCAATCATTCTCGAGATTGCCAGGACACTTGATGCCACAACTTCATGGGGTTGTTAGACGATGCGACAATCACATCCGTGGATTCCCGTTCTCCAGACTAGCAGAAAGATTTGACTTCGCAATCAAAATATGCTCAACGAATCAGACTGATCATCCCCTTACCAACTTACCCAGGAATTGAACAATTTCATAGGCAATGATTAAAAACAGGCACGCCAGTGAGGAATCGAGCATCGACATGTTTTAGCACATTCGGCCACCTGAGTGTCGCAAGCCACAGTGCTTTCAAGGCGCTTTGCACGTGTGCTCTCTGGCCTCCAATTACATTTGACTCTCCTTGCTCAAGATTGCTTTGAACCCCGAATTCGGAGTGATAACGGCACCGAGGACAGTGCAGCATTTTCTTATTTTGTCTTAGCTCAGATAAGTCTCCTGTGAATTTGTTGTGCCCCAAGACCAAGTCGTGAAATGAGGAGCAGTGCCACGAGTGCCTTACTGCATAGAGCCTTTTAGTAATAGGCTCTTCCTCGTCCGGGGGTCATGATTGAAGGACGGGGGTTATGACTGAAGGCTTGTCAATATGGCGGCGTGTGCGGCCGTATCTGCAGCTGTGGGATGAGGCATTTATACAAAGCACCTCACTAAGTTGTCGTACCTCTTCGTGTGATCATATCCTTCATAGAGGCTGACAAGACTCAGTGTTGGTCCAGACCCCTCAACCTTAAACGCATTAAGCATCGTATTATTCGGTCAAGCATCCGGGATCCCGATCCGTCACCTGCATCAGGGAGCTTTCTTCGGCTTTCCGGATTGGATCACGTTGAGGGGTCTCCAAAGTCCACAGCCGAAGCGAAGCCAAATGAGTAAGTAATGGCTTATCTGACCCTTCCCTAATCTCTTTCTTCACATCTAAGTCGAACTTCAGCTTTTTCAACATCAAGGTTGTCCACCGGATGTGATGTCACTTCCAAGGGAAGCACACATGGCCTTCGGGGTGGAAAGAAATGCTTGTCAAAGCCTCTCAAAAGTCAGGGTGTCAGTGGCTCGCGATCCATGGTTACACAAGCCCGGAAATCACCAAGTCTTATTGCGAGAGACTATGCCACTATCAGCGATTGGTAATTCGGACTCGCAGTAGAGAGAACGTCTTCGGATCGAACAAGAGACAGAGCCAAGCTAATGTGAGACAAGAAGCGCCTCCGGCCGATTACGCCAACGCCAAGTCAACGTCCCGTTTTGGGCCGCAACCTAACATGCCAGTCTAAGCATCTTTGGAATGGGTGCAGGTGTCAATTCAGTCGGGAAATCTGAGCAATCGAGACAGGCAGCGGATCCCGTGGCTTTCATACCTCGGAGTTGTTGAATGAAGAGTTTGAAATGCAAAGTTGCCAAAATGTTTGTAAGATGAGAAAGACTTATGAACATTCCTCTTTGCCAGTTATCGGCATGCCTATCTATAACACCGGACCGAGCCCGAGTCGGGATATTTTGAGTAAACCTTGACTCGGGAATACTGCTTATAAGACACCTGCCACTGGGTTCCGCCCTGTCAAAGAGACAAGACGACACAAGTCGATTTCCACTTTCAGGTTTCACCCCAACTTTTCGTTGGTGTGAGGTGTCAGCCCGTCCGAACGAAAGCGTCAACTTTGTTCGGGAAGCTAAAGAATCGAAATTAAGTGCCCGGTTCTAACGATTTTCGATTCAAATAGCCTCGATCTGGTCGTCACCTTTTTGCTTACCGCAAACAACGTTTCTCAAGCACAGCGGCCGGCCCGAAGTCACCATTCTGTCATACCGGCTGGCTTGCACGCACGTACACCAGATTGCTCGCCTCACACCAAAGCTGCCACATGCCCCCGATGCGAGGAGGGCTTTTCCTATAGAGGAGTTGTGGCTCGGGAGCCAAGACGGATTTTGATGCGGCGTTATGTTCTGGCCATCATCGCTGATTAGTTACGGATTCGAAGAGGGCATCGTCATTTGCGGCTTAGAGCTACGAGCGAAGAGGTCGGCACGGAGAATCATCTCCCACACTTGTACAGACGAGGTTCAAAGAGGACGATCTTGGATGAGAGACCCCGCCGAGAGTCTTTCGAAGCTTGTATAACAGCTGTTCAACCACCTTTCTCGACATCCTGCGTACTTCCCTCGTCCAGTCTTCCCCCGACTCTATCCTCTCTGCAGCGCTAGCCAAGGAACACCCTTCTTCTCTAGATAGGTTGCTTGGCTGGCTATCAACCTTCACCATGCGGTTCACGAACCCATTCTCGCATCCCCCACGGGACACATACGAGCGACACTCTCTCATCGCCGAGCAAGATGGCCGAGCTTCACCGTCAACAGAATCGCTGGACGAGATCATCGACATTGAGAAGCGCGAATACCCCTTCCTCGTCTCGGTGAGATCCGCAAGAAACTCAGTATCCTCGTTCCTCAACGAACACCTCCACCTCGGGGGCGACCTGACATGGACGGACCGCCTCCTCACACTCCTCACCACATTGAAGCCATTCGTCTTCCTCTTCCTTCCTACATTCTTCATCAGCCCCTTCAACTACTTCACCACACCCCTGGGCCAGCGACCAAAGCCCAGAAAACTAGGTCCGACAGCATATCTAGACGGCCTCCGCGGCGTCGCAGCCTTTGTGGTCTACATCTTCCACTTCTCGTACCTTTGGTTCCCAGACCTTCGCTGGGGCTATGGTTTCGCGGGCCACCAGATGTTCTGGCAGATGCCCATCGTCCGGGCCCTGCACTCCGGACGCGCCAGCGTCACCGTCTTCTTCGTCATCTCAGGCTTCGTCCTCACCCTCAAAACCGTATCGATGATCCACAAGCGCAAGATGGACCAGGCTCTGAGCGCCCTGGCCGGCTCCGCGTTCCGCCGCCCGTTCAGATTGTACCTCCCCATCTTTGCATCGACCTTCATCATCGCTCTCTTAGTATATGGGGGAGAATACGTGAGGGACCCCTCGGGTGCGCCCGTACCGCCCCGGGGACCGAGTCTTGACCAGCAACTGCAGCACTGGTTCTGGAGCACGGTCAACTTGATGAACCCTTTCCGAGCTATTGTCAACAGAGAGAACATGAAGGGAAGCGAGTACGACGGGCATCTCTGGACGATTCCCGTCGAATTCAAAGGCTCGCTGCTTGTCTTCTTCCTCTTGCTCATCTTTGCTCGAGCAAAGAGGTGGGTTCACATGGTCGGTGTCACGGGCATCACTCTCTGGCTGGTCCACATCGGCGACTGGGACCAGGCTCTCTTCTGCGCCGGACTCCTCCTCGCAGAGCTCTCCATTATCATGCCCAACACCGCCCCGACAACGGAGACGACGGAAGACCAGCTCCCCAGCTATAGACTGCGCACCGTCAAGAGGTACGGCTCGCAATCCATCCACATCTTCCGCCACGCAGGCACAGTAGCCCTCTTCTTCCTCGGCCTCTATCTCTTCTCCTACCCAGAGTACTACGGGGCATCGACCCCGGGCTTCATCACAATCTCGCAATGGGTACCAGACTACTACAAAGCAATGGGCGACCGCACCCAACTCTACTGGAACTCCATCGGCGCCATCATCTTTATCTTCGCCTTGATGTACTCCCCGCCCGTCACCTTCAATCTCAAAGCCATGCTGCTCAGAGGTCGCAATATCCGTCTGCCCTGGCACCAAACCACTCCGGACCTCGACGACGACGAAAAGGAAGAACTCGCGGCAGCAGCTACATCTTCCTCCTCCACGGAACCCGAAGCAGAAAAGGCCGAACCTCTCCTCCAGCGCCCCTTCACAACGAGCTTCGCGCAGTACCTCGGACAAATCTCTTACTCGCTATATCTGTGGCACGGCGCCATCAACCACATGGTCGGCGTCAGGTGGCTGTCGCCGGCGCACGCCGCGTTGTCGCTTGCCGGTGCCCAGGCCAAGGTGCTCACGGAGGGCGGAAATGCCGCCGGTGGTACTGAGATGGTGAACAAGGCCTGGGGTGCGTACGAGCTTGCGTTCTTCTGGGGATCGTTGGTGAACACGTTGGCTCTGTTGTGGGCGAGCGATGTCTTTAATCGGATAGTTGACGTAAATGCTGTCAAGTTGACTCGATGGCTTGGCGAGAAGGCATGGAGGAAGGATTGATCCAGCTGGGATACTGAGAGATCACATTAGCGAATTCATAAGCGTTGCACTTCGATTTGTGTCCTAATAGCCTAGTCAAATTAAACTTCATGATGATATTGAACCCAATATCTCAACCGTGTATGAGATACTTCCAACCTCTTGCGCAATGAGTGGTGTGATGATTCTAGCCCAATTACTTGCCGGATCCCCGAAGCAGAAGATCATGGACTTCCTCTCACATGCGTAAAAGCTGTAGCGGCGTGCCTTTAAAGTCTTATCTCATTTTGTACAGAAAGTGGTCACACCGAGGCAGTCTAAATGCGTTGTAATCACACCAGTCCCCAAGCTTGTCATTAAATCATGCCGCCGTAAATCCACACCCAGTTTTCCCACTTTCATTAGCAACCGCCGTCGCCGAGCAAACTCCCTTAGGCCCGGCACAGCACCCGGAGGCACAGTCCTCGTTAGAGAGACATTGGCCCGTGATGAACTGCTGACCATTCCCTTTGCCAACATTTTGTGAGCCAGGAGCACCAGAAGTGCCAGCACCAGCAGCAGAACCTGCACCTGCACCTGCGGACGGAGCAGCTTGAGGCGGAGCGGCAGCCTCAGCCGCCGCGCCGCCTCCAGTAGAGCCAGTGGCGGCACCCGCTCCCGTGCCCGTAAAGCCGCAGCCCGCCTTGCCATTCTCCGTTGCGACGGCTCTGGCGGCACAAGCACCCTTGGGGCCGTTACAACATCCCGAGGCGCAGTCCGCGTCAGACAGACATTGTCCTGTGATGAACTGTTGGCCGTTACCGGCGCCGACATTTGAAGAGGTCCCTGATCCTGCGCCACCTCCGCTTCCGGCGGCGGCTTCCATGGACGGAGCGGCCTGGCCTGCTCCCTGGGACGCAGCAGGTGCCGCAGCGGCACCACCATCACCGAAGCCGCATCCCGTTTTGCCTGCCTGAAACTGAGCTCCAAGTCCAGAGCAGATGCCGGCGCCGTTTAGGGTCGCGCAGCAGGTTGAGGCGCAGTCTTTGCTGTTGAGGCAGGCGCCACCGATAAACTGGACGCCGTTGCCATTGCCAACGTTCTTGTCACCAGATGGGTCTGGAGTCAAGGGGCTGGGAATCGCAAGTGCAGAAGCAGCGACTGGGGTATGTTAGTCGGAGTTGGATACTAGAGTAACAGCGACTGAGAGTCGGGAAGTGCGAAAGATAGAACTTACAGAATGCTGCGGCAAGGGAGAAGCGAACCATGATGTACTAATGAGAGTAAGAAGAGAATGCAGTACTGTCAAAGTACTGAAGTATAAGAAATACAAGAACAAGATGTATGTGATCGATGCTGTCCCTTTGAGTAAGATTCACATCCAGCCCGCGGACATCTGCCATCTTAAGTATGTTCCCCATCTCTCCATCTTTGACGATAAAATAACAATCCGAACATTCCTGCACGCCTGCCAGGGCTCTCTGCGCTTGCTGATGCCTCCCGTCTGTCAAGCAGGTCAGTCAAAGATGCGACGCAGGTCTGTCACAGGGGCACGTTTCTGCAACTGAGGCTGAGCAAGTGAGCAACCAGAAATCGGAAGCTGAATGACCAACATCTTTCTCTTTTCATTGCGCAGTAGTGCTGTCAAGATTCGGGACCGCCACCCGGCGATCCTGATGCCGTCGAAACCCCATGAGACCAGATGATCAGAGACCATGGCGCGGCGTGGACCAGTGAGGTTGTCGAGGCTGAGGTTGGAGAACTGGGTCGCAGACGAGGCCGTCCCTGTCGTGCTAATGTTTCGGATGGGACGAAACATCGGAGAACGGCAAACGGGCCTAAACGCGCTCTCGAGCCCCTGAACCAGGGCTACCGCCAGCTGGAGGAAGGGAGTCGTCAACTTGCCTCGATGCAGAGAAAAGAAGACAAAAACATGGTGGCTGCAGAATTTCTGCATTGCGTGCGAGCTCTCCCCTGCCACGATCTTCCGACGATCCAGGTTTCCCCATCTTCACAGGTGTAGTGTGGCCCAAGCCCGTAATGGCAGCTCATTCGTCTGTTTTCTTTGGTCTGGCTAAGACCAGCATTGCGAAACGGGAGAGGCCGTCAGCTCGGTGTGGTCTGTCCGATGATGGGCCGTTTGAAGCGAAGGGTCTCCTATTATTCGCGAAGATGTGTTCGACTCCACGTTGACCCAAAATCCAACCCCATTTCCCTAGGGTTGAATGTGAGAGAAGTTGAAGTCTGAGGACATGGTGCGGATGGATGTTTGGCCCGCCTCATAGCATGAATGTCCCGTCGACTATCCAGTACGGTCATATGTAATGCCTGGTCTAAGCCTCGCAGTGCGGTGTTCACATCTCGTAAAAGGAGGTTTGGGAATCCGTGATGCTGCCTGGACGCGATCCTTGAAAGGGGCAACCTCGAGTAACGTTGCTTCACGACGTGACGTAAAAGGAAACCGACGGGCTAATTGCTATGCTGCATTCAGTGTTGAACATCATCTTTCGAGACGGTTGATTTTCCCGTGGCATTGTTGATAAAAAAGTGCCAAGAAGAAGACGGACGTCGTTGAATGTCTAAATGTTCAGCAGAGTTTCGCGAAGTTGCGAGGATCAGCCAAGCGGTGCCCTGTGAGGAATTGACTTTCTTGCAGCACAGGGGCTCTCCTGTTCAGTGCTCTTTTGGCAGCTTCCGGGGATTCGAGGCCCCTGCCGAGGACGCTCAGGTGCCTTACCATTTCCGTACGTACATACTTTATCTGTTATCTTATCAAGTGGATATGTTATCGTTATCTTATCTCCTCCCTCCTCACTACCTTTGGTACCTTAGGCGGGCAGTGACGAGGTGTTCCTCCCTCGCGGGAGACATTCCATCGCAAATCGCATCTTCATCTCATCACCGACCTATTCCAAAAGCCATGGTATGGAAACTGCCGTGCGAAAGAGCCGGTTACATCTTCATCCAAGCCAAAATGGGCCAGGATTTTTGGCTTCCGCAGAGCCGAATGTCGGATAGCCGCCACGAGTCTGCTGCGGGACAACATCACGAGCCTTCCACGGATACATGGTACCTATTGACAGTCACAACTCAACATCGGACCAACCCACCGGCGCTGCTAGGAAGCACAATCACAATGGAGAACATGAAATTATGAGCACTTGGAAGCCATCGGTCATGACTTTTCGATGAAAGCTCCCGAGGAAAGGATGGCCAGCCATCCCAGAACATGGTTAAAGCACAATCACCCGAGAGCGACTTGTCAACGCGAGCATGTCCAATGTCGACTGACATTTCTCACTGATTTTCGGGCTCTTGTAACTTCAGATCATCTCCTCGGGCGGTGAATGCCCCGGTAACCTCAATGCACAAAATTCAACAGCGACTGGATAGCCATGCAAGGTGGCTTTTGGCTTGCATCCTCCGCTACTCCCCCCCTGTGCGTCTGATTGGGCCACGACACGGACTTCAGTTGCATCAATTCCCCTGAGAATCCATGACGGCCTATGAGATTGTTCCATTTGCAGCATCTCGTCCAGGGTCTACCGGCGCATCCGTGGTGTTGACCTGGCTCCTGGAATCGTCCCAACGGCTAGCCTGCATTTGACACCTCTCAAGATGCACCTCTAAGCTGCGTCGCCCTAGTCTCGCCCTATCCCATCTTTGGATTCTTCGGCCCTTCTCAGCTAAGACATGTCGCCGGCTGGAAGCAGTCGAATCCCCCTCCCTCAGGGTCCCTGAACAGTGACATCAGGTATCCCAACATTCCAAGAGAACCCCGCTTACTGGCTTGCGGGACTGTTCGGGCCCCTCCATCCTCGTGTTGGTTATTGAATTACTTCGACTTCACCATCGGAACTCTCCATCGCGCGAAGAATCCAATCAAAGAGTTGAAGCATCTTCGATATGGCTGCGCCAGCACAGGACGTCGTGGTGGAACCGGACGACTTCAATGACAATGACTCGTCTCTGGGAGATCTCAGCAACGTTCGGCACCTTGTTATTCCCGTCGATGTGATTTCATGGCTGATGGTTTCCATAGGATGGAACTTCCTCAACCGCAAGCTTGAACAGCTCAATTCTCGACTACCGCAAGGAGAACGGACGCACCTATCACAAGTTTCGCGATGGAAGTCAGTGGTGCCGATTCGGCATCCTTATTGATCATTCACTGACTCTCTGGAAGAATACCACTTTCCGAACGATGAAGAGGAAAACGAGAGATTGGGTTAGCCGCACAAAAGATCCCTTCAACTCCCAAGACTGATGCTAAGCGAACGCCTGAAGACCTTCAACACCACATCTTTGACCTCTCTTTCGATGGCAAACTCGGGTTGTCACCGCCTAATGAGCCCGAATCCAACGTTGGCCGCGTACTAGACCTGGGAACAGGAACAGGCATCTGGGCCATGGACTTTGGAGATGAGCATCCTGGGGCCGAGGTTGGTGTCAACACATCAGTATGGCTTATGGCCTTCTGACGCTGATATCGCAGGTCACCGGCGTCGATCTGTCACCCACTCAACCGCAATTGTTAGCATTGCCAGCATTGCCAACCGCCTGCACCACGGGTATGACACTGACAGAGCATGCAGTGTCCCGCCCAACGTCAAGTTCGAAGTCGACGACATTGAAGACAGCTGGACTTACTCGCGTCCTTTCGATTACATCCATAGCCGGATGATGAACTCTAGTATCTCCAAGTGGGAGGAGTACATCCGCCAGTCCTATGAGTAATCACAGATATAACATTTTTTTCAGCAGGACAGGCATTGATGCATCATGACAGAAATCTCACACCTGGCGGCTGGCTCGAGCTCCAGGAATTCGGCTTACCCCTCTCTGACGACGACACACTCAAGGAGGAGCACGCTCTTTATCAGTCCATGAAGCACCTTGGCGAGGCAGCAGCCAAGTCGGACCACGCCTTTGTCGACCTCGACGCGCTCAAGCCTATGCTTGAGGCCGCCGGCTTCGTTGACGTGACGGAGCTGCGCTTCAAGTGGCCCAGCAACACATGGCCGCGAAACGCAAAGTTCAAGGAGCTCGGCGCCTGGAATTACGAGAACATCACGACCGGTCTGCAAGGGTTCCTCATGGCAGCGCTCACGCGCGGGCTGGGCTGGAAGGCGGACGAAGTCAACGTGTTGGCCGCGCAAGCACGGAAGGATGTTGGGGACCGAAGCATTCATGCATACTGGCCCATGTGAGCTGCTTTTTCCTGCACCACCAGTCGTCTAATGGCTGTTACGTGGAAGAAGAGTACTGACTCAAGCAGGATCGTGGTGTATGGAAGAAAGCCTGGCTCCAGTTAGGACAACGCCAAGGACTCAAGGACGAATTCGTCCGGGCCGGATCCATGGAGGACGGGCCGGGTGGGTTCCTCCGCACGGAGCACAATTCTCCAACACTGGGAGCCCACCCATCCTTACCCCGAATTGGTCCACAATTCCCGAGCAGGCGGACACGAGAAAAATTTTCACGGACGAAGCCATCGAGATTTCGGACTTGCCGACGGAGCCCTACCCACGCACACACACCACAAATCACACGCCCAACCAACTCTCTCCTTAGCACCACCCAGCGTGCCTCTGTTCAACAATCAATGACCCGCCTTGCTAGCTCAATCGGTAGAGCGTGAGACTCTTAATCTCAAGGTTGCGGGTTCGACCCCCGCGTGAGGCTCAAATCCTCACCGCGATTGGCAAAGCCATTCTTCGGGTTATCTTTTTTGTTTTTCACGTATCTGCTGGCCCCTAGTATGATCTGCCCTCTCTATCTGGGGAATTTTGTTTCTATTCTTTGATAGTGCTAGATCCCATGGATCTCACGGAAGGGAATGGGATGCTCGTCATGAGAAGGAGAAAATATTATGAACAAAGTTCACCATAACAGGAGGAAAGAAGTCGACAATCGTGTAACAGGTCAACCAAGGATCGCATATCAACGATTTTTGACATGTGTTCATCATACTAAATAAAGGTGATGAAAAGGAATCGTCTGCAAGCCTGCTGTAGAATTACCAAATCCCAACTTCCCCAACCTCACACCCACTACCCTACCCTACTCTCCGTATCACTCATCCTCAACCTCAACCCCCCTAAACTCAAACACCCGATTCCACTCCGGATCCGCAAGCAAATCCCACACAAGCTCCTTCTCCACTGCCAACGAGATCTCGTTCCCCTCGTCATCCCCACCGGGACTCATCCTCGCAGGACGCGGCGGGTAAATCACAATCAACCCTCCCGTCACAGAGTCCCACGGACACCGGAACCCGCTGGGGCGACCGAAGCCGAAATCTGCGGTATACGGGTCCGCGTCGCGCCAATCCGTGACGAGGAGGGTCGTGGGCGGGAAGACGTCGGAGCCGGCGTAGAGGGTTAGCTTGTTGCGGACGTGGGCGATGCCGGATAGCATTGCGCCGATTGTCGGTGGGGTTATGCTGTTTGTGAGCTGGCGGATGTACCTTTAGCAATCAAGTTAGTCGTCTGTGATTTGGTCGTGTTTAAGCTTCTGGACGCCGGAGATTTGCAGCGTGAAAGTATCCCACCGAAGGAAATAAGGAAGCAAGAATAAGACAACTCACCACGCAAGCTTGGTAAAAGGTGCCGCTTCAACAACCTCCTTGATCGTAAACTGCGGCACAACATGAGTACTCCTCGACGCGATCGCCACGGCAATCACATTTCCCTGCGTGCGCGCCGGCATAGGCCTCCCCGACGCATCGCACAACCGCCTCCTCACATCCACAGCCTCAACCCATTCCACCAGCGCCTCCGGATCGGACTTGTGCAATCGGGCCTTGTGCTTCAGCAGCACGCGCCACAGGTACGCATTGAGTGCGTCGTAGCTCGAGATCCAGTAGTCGCTGCCGCTGTTGTCACTGTTGCTACTGCTGCTGCTGCTGCTGCTGCTGCTGCTGCTACTATTGCTACTACTACTTCCATCCGTAGCCGATGCAGGAGTCGCCAATCGCTTCAATTCAAGAAGCTTACTCCGCGGAATGTGAAAAAGCAACCTCGAAGCAGCCCTCTGCTCAGGATGTCTCGACGGTCTCGGTGGCCCGTCGACGAGTCGGTCAGCGGGCGGGTCCGCGACCGTGACGCGTGAGAGGTCCAGGCACGCGGGGTCCCACGGAGGCAGCTCCGGTGGCGCAGCAGCAGCGGCAGCAGTTGAACGAACAAAATTATCACCGCTACCACCGCCAGCGGCCGTCGCACCCGCATCCGCATCCGCACCCGACGCAGACGCGGCCCAGATGGCGGCACAGTTCTCCGCCAGCTGGTGCATTTCCCCCGCCCACCCGTTGACGTCGTTGGCGAGGTGGTGGTGCATCATCATCAGCACCAGCCCGTCGCCGGGTATGAAGCTCGCTTTGAAGGACGCCGCCTTGGGGTTATTCTCTGGCCGGTTCGCGGGTTTTTCGGCGGGCGTCATGGGCGGGATGCACCAGAGGTTCAAGTCGGGGCCGAAGGCGCGGGTGCTAAAATGCTGCCGTTCAAAGTCGGCGTATGAGGGGTATCTTTCATGTTGCTTCTCTTCGTAGTCATCACCATCATTATCAACAGTGCGGGAGTTGTAAGAGCCATCGAGCCATTGAACGTGAAACTCAACCATGTCTTCGCGCCTCTTGTGAAAGCACAGGCCGCTTCCATTGTCGGGGTCTTGCCTCAACGTACCGCAGAGGCGGCGGCACTGGCTGAGCGTGATTTCGAGCCCTTGCTTGAGGACCTCTACGATCTTGCGCTTGTCTGCTCCCGGGTCGAGTTTGAAGAAGAGGGCGTAGGCGCAGTAGATTGTGCCGGAGCAGTAGTCTAGCGTGCAGAGGCGGTGGTATTCGTCTTCCGGGTCGGATTCCCAGCTCGTGGGGTGGAGATTGTACACGGCGACTTTTGGGGGTGTCTTTTTCTTGTTCTTTTGCTGGTGTTGTTCTTGTTGCTGCTGCTGCTGTTGACATCCAGATTCGATCTCAACCCGCCCCCTTAGGAGCGATGTCAATGTTCCCATGGTTGGAACTAGGCGGTAAAGGAATTGGAATGAAAGCATTTTTTGAGTTTCAGCGGTGACAACTTGGACAAGTCGGAAAGGTTAACGGCAGGGGCCGGTGTAATTTCAATACCAACGTACGAGTTCTCCACTGGCAGAGCAACGTAGAAGGGGGGATGAACCCTCTATTTATTATGATATTCCCTTGTAGTATTTGACGTGAACCAATTCGCTCCCGCCTTGCAGCTCGAGGATGGGGCATCGCATTCCAGAAAGGGCTCTGCAGGGTGAGGGTCTGTGGAACCACTCGCAGCCTGGCTGATGAAAGGCACAATGAGTGCTGGGGTCTCAAGACATGGCGCCTGCAAGTTGTGGCCTTTGATCTCAAAGAAGAGGTGTCTGGTAGTGTCATCGGCTCTTGATGACAATGACGAGTGTCATCAAGAGCCGATGACGAGTCGCAAGTTCTCTCCAGTCCTATCGAATCCAATATAGGAGGGGTTGTTGAATTCCCAGAATGTAGCCCCCAATGATTTCAAACTGTAAAAGCTGCTGAAAAGGCGCAATGTTTGCCGTTTTTCTGGAATATGGCGCCCGCAAGTTGTGAGCCTTGGAGGGTGACTGAATCGTGTGAGTTGCGGTTTGGCGCTCGAGAAGTCTTCCAAGCTTTGTTACCGAGGGTTCGAAAGACTCGAAGCTCCAGCCCTGAGTCGAGTTGAGGGGTGGCAAAAGCTGTTAAAATTCACGGATTAGCTGCTGAAGTTATGGAATGTTTGCTTCAATTATAAGACATGGCGTGAAAAGTTGCGAATCTGAAGAGCAAAATTAGTTACTAGTTCCATTAGTGGCGCTGGGCAACTCGTCTAAGTCTAGTCACTACCTGGGTAGTACTCAAGGTGGTTGCGAAGGCCGAAGATAACTCATATCAAACACGATGATTGATCACTATTCTCCCTCAACGTGGTGTGGGTCGTTTCTCCTTAACTCCAGATAGTCAGGCTTGACTCTTGCGATATATCCCGGCGAAGGCGTAAATGCAAACAATGACAACTCCGATCAGTAGTTGGACAGTCGACCGAACATCCATCAGGCGAAAGAGGGTCTCTAGAGTTGCGTTGGTGGCGCCCCATGTAGATGTAGATTGGCTAAGAGCATGCAACTGCGCAACTCACAACTCTGTTTTGTGGTTGTCGGGGTTAGTCATTGGAGACTCAAGGTTAACTCGATGGAGGGAAATGTCTCAGATCTGGGCTAGGCAACTAGGCTAGACTTGTCATGAATCTCGCCCGAACTCTGACCGGTCTCTAGTCAGTAAGAATGATTGGTCTTTGGCGTTCACAGGAACAGGAGACTAGCTTCGCCGCACCCTATAGTTCTTGGAACATTGTTTGCTCAACGGAAGGTGAATGAGAAGAGCTGACTCGTCCTTCTGCTAAGCCATGAGCGAGCCTGGTATGCCAACGATTTGGAATACCGTAAAACAAGGCTGCGAAGGAGAAAAGAGACAACAAAAACTTCGGCAGCAGTGACGGTGTAAAGTGGTATCATTGAAACTATCCTATCCCAACAGGTTGATGAACGGCTCCGGCCACTTGCCCATCAGCAGCGGCCGATCTCCCAACCGACCACTCACCGGCGCCAGAATCCTCAACTTGCGCTTCTCCTTGTCAATGTCGGCAATGTACACGTACCCCATCACGTTGGCCGTCCGTATTGTCTCTGGCGAGTCTTTGACTGAGGCGTAGACGATGGCCAGCGTCCAATGGGCCATGGCCTGCGCGGGGTCCACGCGCATCAGGCTCTCGTCGGCACCACCGCCGTACATGGAGTCTAGATTAGGCCCAAACAGGTCAGCAAACATTGTGTATGCACTTTTGGGGTGGGTTGTATGATTGGGAAGTGAGGAAGGCGAGAACGTACAATCTCCTAGTTTGTATATGGCCAGGCTGTCAAAGTCGACTTGCTGCGTGGCGGGACTCAGCGTCTGGCCGATGCTACCGAAGAAGTATTCCTTAATGGACGCCTCGCAGGCCTGCTGTGTGTAGCCCACGTCGCGCTCGACCACGCCCTCTGACTTTTCCAAGAGGAGGATGCTGTAGTTCTCGCCGAGGCTGGTCCTCTCCGTGGAGAAGCGCTTGGTGATTTCGGCGTTGAGACTTGCTGAGCCCAACACAATAATAATGTTGACTGCCACTCTGTTAGTACCACCAGAAAAGTGAAAGGAGAAACCATACCCGAAAGCTCCTCCACAACATGCACAAAGTTTTCCATGCCAACCTGGTTGGTCTCCGTCACGGCCTGCGTATCAATAATCATACCCGACCCCTTGACCTCAGGATCCTGCCCCAACCTCGACGTCACCGTCGCCGCCATCTTACTCACGAGCTCCTTGTACTTGGCCGGGTCCTCCTCGGAGCTCGCGTGGCCGTAGTAGTACACCAGCGGCAGCTTCACCGGCACCTGACTCGGCCCGCTCGTCGGCGTCGTGCCCCAACCATCAACAGCCTCGACATCCAACAGCGACCCGACGACGCTGGCGCTCAACGTGCCCGGCAAGCTCAGCATCCCCTCCTTAGGATCCGTATTCACCACCAACGGCTGCGCGCCCACCCTTGCAGCATAACTCGTCAGCGTCCTCGTCAAGCTCGTTTTCCCCGTCGTCGGCGGCCCGCAGACGGCGATGCGCGGGCCCTCCCTCCTCTCGGCGGCGGCGCGCTGGCGCATGGCGGTGAGCTGGAAGTGCAGGTTCAGGACCGAGTTGGAGGGGGAGTCTTGCGGTTTGGGGTACTCTGCGACGGACTCGTCCGCCAGCACGCCCTCGATCTCGAGCTCGCATCCTTGCAGGGTGAGGATCTTGGATCTGGTGCCGGCAAAGGTGTAGATGTGCTGGAGGGCGAGCTCGGTGCCGTCTTTTTCGGCCGTGCCGGAGAGGAGTTTGAGGGTGATTTGAGTGTCGAAGGCGACTTGGAAGCGCCATTCCCAGAAGGGCTGGAGACGGATTGTGCGGGTTTGGTTCGCGGACGTCGGTTGCTGGTGGTGGGTGGGTGTGTGTTAGCTGGCAGTTCTCAAGCTCTTTCTCGATGGTGGGGCTTCGAGAGAACGCGGTGTTTGTTTTCTGCTTACTGGCGCCACGAGGTGGCCCAAACCGGGGATCGACATGGTCGGTTTATCTGATGATCATAGGATGTCGAGTACTTAGAGTGATGGGCGTAGCGAACTCTGGAGGGTCGGGGAATCGTCAAAGATGCAATAATCAGAGTCGCGTGGAAAGTCACTGTCAACGCGCCCACTGGGAATTTCAATTGGGGACCTTGACATCACGGCTGGGGATTTTGGGATGGTCCGTGCGGGAGCTTTCCACATCTGGAGGGGGTTTATTCGGCGGGGCAGCGATTCTCAGGGCCGCCGTCACTGTTGCATGCGGCTTCCATGTTCCTGCATATTCTCCAGGTCTAGCGGAACTGGGAGCACGGTGCGTATCATGTATACTTTTTGGATGGGAAGAAACTGTGATGTAGGTGGATTGATACCAATTATTCTGTCAAAAAAGGCTTGAACAATGAACGTGATAATCGTCACGGCGCATAACTGTAAGAAGCAATTGCAAAAGTCCAGAAACATCGGCAAAAGGCGCACGATCCAGGGATCCACCCCGATGCGGCGATGCCCCTCAGGAACTAAGGGCCCACTTCAGATCCCCCGGCTGCCTCCGCCTCGGCGGCATGTTCTTCCGCCACAACCAATCATTTCCTCGTCTTACCTCGGGCCACCATTACGCAAGTCACCCACGCCTCACAGCGCCCCCCAGCTCCGCCACCCGAATTGTACCTTTACGAACCGTTACGTACCGGCTCACGGCTCAATCGCTTCGCTGCCTGCTGACCTGATCTGAGCCCGCGGGACCGAAACCTGGAGAGAGGCGAGAGGCGCAAACGTCACCTTATTTGCACCATACAGTCACCCGCCCTAACTTCTGAGCAAGAACATCTTTTTTGCAAAAGCGACGACTTCAGACTACTACAAACATCAACACCGCAGAGACCCTCGCGAGTCTCTTCTCAATCACCTCCATACCTTACGCACATTACAACACGAGCACCGCGCCCGCCGAAATGTGTTCCGCAGACATCTTCCTCGGCCTCCTGGCCCTCCTCTTCCCGCCTCTCCCAGGTAAATACAATTCCAATCCATCCGCGCATTTCAAGGCCCATCACTCTTTTTCTGAACTCCTAAACTAACATCTGCTCCAACAGTCTGGGTAAAGCGCGGCATCTGCGGCGCAGACTCAATAATCAACATCCTCCTCTGCCTCCTAGGCTACATCCCAGGCCTCATCCACGCCTGGTACATCATCGCCAAATTCCCCGAGCCAGACTACGAATACGAGTCCGTCCCGCAACAGGACCGCGAGGGCGGTCGCGTCACCTACGTCTTTGTCCACGGCAACGGCAACGGAAACGGTCCTCACACTCAACAGCCTCGCCAGCAACCCCGCCCCTCGCAGCACGGCGGCAAGGGTAACGGCGCGGTCGGATACGGTACTACGAACAACAGCAGCAACAACAACAATGCTGGCGGTTCCTCGAGACAGCAGCAGCAGCAGCCTCAGCAGCCGCAGCAGCAGTACTCTGCGCAGCAGGGTGGCGCTGGCGAGGGAAGCAGCGATGGTGCTGTGCCGCCTAGCTATGCTGAGGTCGTGGCTGGCGATAACAAGATTCAGACTCGGGATTAAAGCGGGATGGTGATATTCTAGAGTGGCTTTGTAAGGTCTCTGACTTTACTGCTGCTGTTGCTATCCTCTATTTTTCCCCGAGTATTTTCTTTTTGCTTCTTTCTGGCTTCCCTGGCTTATCTTCGCTTCGGCTTGCCCGGCTTGTTATTCTACTTGGTGGTTCTTGTAAATTGGTTTAGGTTTTACGAGCGCGGGGGAATGTTTGGAACCCGTTGTTACGTGGAGTTGAAGGGGTTTGACGAAGTGATAACGTTTTGCACGAGTTTACGCGAGACACTGGTGGGGTTTCTCACTGTATCATTCACATACACTAGGTACCAGCCCTCAAAATTCATCTCTGTAAAGGGGTATCTTGGTCCAATCTTTTCGAAACGCCCATGCTTCCGTGACGTAGCTCCTTGGGGGGAAGGCTAATACAATGCCCCGTTTTCAGCCTCAAGCTATCCCCTTGCTTATGATCCACCTAGCTAACGACCTCTGTCCTTCTTCCGTGAGATGGCCAACCTAGTGATGTTCGCGTGGTGACGGCCAGCCGATAATCCTTATACTAGACCAACCTCGGTAGTCAGCTGGTTACAGCTTCTTGCTTCTCGGTCTTCTCGTCTGCCTTGATGGCCGACGGTGCAGGGCGCTCATTAGCTACGGGCTCCTTGTAGTGTCGCATGAGGTTCTGCGGCAGGAAGGTGTACCATTCCACGAGAACTTGACGAGCCTGCTTCACAAATTTGATGCCAATGTTGAGCTCGCATACGCAGAGTTGCAGTCTGAACCCTGGCTTCAGGCGTTGCAGGATTGAATCTTCCAGGTAAAAGGTGTCGCGCTGTTCATCGGACAGAACAATGTCCTCTCCATAGTCGTAGCCATCCTCAATGATGCAGGGCTTCGTGATAATTATTCCGACGGGCTCGAATCGGTGTCCCTTGCCCAGGCGGATGCTCCGAGTAAGCTTGCGCGCCTCGTCTGTCGGCCGGTGGATGGAGATGATCTCGACGCTGCACTCCTCCTCGCCGATGACCTCAATGATGCCGTCTTTCAGACCATTGGTGACGGCATTGTACTGCTCCTGGGTAGCAGTCATTGCCATTGCAACCTTTAAGACCGCTTCAGGGGAGAAATCCTTTGGCCGCTGAAATTCCTCGGCATCTCCAAAGCAGAAAAAGTCCTTGCAAAACAGCTCCGACAGCGCCAGGTTGCATTGGCCAGGGAATCGGAGGAGAGCTTGATGAGACAACGGCAGGTCAACTTTGGCCTTTTGGCAGAGATCTAGAGCTTCCTTGACATTGGCGTCGTATTCTGGACACACGTCGTGCTGGAGGATGTAGGTAAGAAAGTTCTCCAGCAAGCCAACTGCCTTACCCATCTGCGCATAGTCCCAAGCCGTCTCGTACGGGAGCGTCTCGGAGCAGAAACCCGCGACTACACCGGCAAAGTCGACATCCCAGCCATCGGGATCGTCGTCATTGTAGAAGCGCGCACCACCGCCGGAGCTGTAGACGGTGTCAATGGCCGTTGCTTCTCGTCTCTCCGCCGGTGTCATGTCCTTGAGGTCGGCATCTATGTTGCCGCCAAACATGCGAGGTGTGGTGTCGATGCCTCCCAAGAAGAGGTACCTGTTGAAGATCTGGTCCGAAGCACCCAGACGGCGGCGAGCGCGGTAGCGCTGGATGCATGATTGGATACGTCTTCTCATCCGTCAGTTGAAATTGTAAAGTCAAACGAGAAAGGGAGAATCTTACTCGGCAAAGGTCAACTCTCTGTAAGCCCACGTCAGTGGTTGCCCGGAACTAGCGATGGATGACACGAATCACTTACAGGCTGTAGATGTTCTCGCGCTCCTCCTGAGTTTCGGCAGGAGTCATGGGAGGGTCGGCAAAGAATTCTGGGAGAGCACGTCAGCAAGGCACAGCCGCGATCGAAAATGGTCTAATGATATATACCCTCGAAACCAGTGCCGCGATACTTATGCATGGCAGTTGGACCCCGATCGACCGTGCTGGACTTCTTGCCAGCCATGTTGTCGCGGTGTTTCCCTTGTTGTTGAATATGAATATCTTGTTGTACGAGGAGAGGAAGAGCAGGTCTAGAACTTGCTTCTAGTTGAAGAGCAGAGAAGCTGGTTGGTTGAAGGTAAAGAAGAGGAATTAACTCACGCTGTTGGTCTTTAAACAAAAGATTCCACCGAAAATCAAGGTGCCTAGTACACAGGGAAAGAGTGTTTTTCGTTCTTTCCACTTCTTATTCCATCATTTTCTCATCTCACGTCCAAAGGAAGGCACGGTTTGCATCGCTGCCTTCCTCAAATCACGACTTACAGTAAGAGCATACTGAAGAGAACCATAGAATTAGCAGGAAACACATTCCCAAGATGATTTCCGTTCTTCAACAAAACACAGGTGTATTGAAAAAGCACGAGATGCTGTTTGGTCCTCAGAACGGCATGCGCAGATCGCGGGTCCGATCTAAACTTTGCCTCATGTAAGAATCCATGCGACCCAATCACCTCAGGCATTCCCAATTATCGGAGGCCTACTGCAGACGATCTTCCAGACAAACGCTGACGGCGAGCCAATTGTCTCCGAGAGCCTGGGTTGCTCAGGGGTTCGCGACGTGAAAAGCACGCCCGGTGGGTTAGTGGGTGGAAGCCTGCGTGCCGTACGTGCCTTTAGGTACGTGGGACGCGGCACAATATCATTGGAATTGTAGGATGGCTTGCAATTGCTTGCATCTGCAGCGCGGCATTTCGCTTCTTTGAGGCGGGCGGGAAAAGCTGAGGCGGAGTTACAATCACCATGCATGAAAAGTCCCCATCGCATTCGTATGGCGGGCGCCGCAGGAGGAAGAGGATGGATGATGACTGACCAAGGCGGCGGGCTGCATATTCCATGTGCTGCGTGGAAAGCCCAGCTGACATGATTCGGTCCTGTCACAGGAGAGCCAGAGGGGGATCTCTCGTGCGCTGGAGAGGCAGCGGTGAGACCATCCAATGCAGACAACACGACATAACCCGAGCAGCTGGTGGCATCGTGAAGAGAAACGGGCCGTTGGTTTCCTTTGGATCTCACAGGCGTGGCAATGCAACCTTTTTGTGAGAGCGCATCACAATAGATCAATCAGCCCAACAATCTGAGCCAGACCTTCGGCCATAGCGAAATTCGCGACTGACATTTCGTGTAAAGCCGCCGCTGATTCTTAAGATACAGTCACACCGTCGAGGTTGTTCAAAAGCGACAGGTCCCGAGAGCGAATGTTCCATGGAGGCCAGAGTCAGACTCGGAAAGATACGCTGTAAGCGAAGTCGCAGTCCAGCTGACGCATCGTCCTTTGACATGCAGGATCCTCAGTCTATTGAACACCAGTGGGAATTAGCTCGTCGGCCACGACAACATTGATCAAAGCCTCGACTTGATGTGTCGTGCGAATAAAGGGAATATGAGCTGCGCCTATTCAGGCGCTGTTGGAACTTTGGAGCAAGGTTGAGTAGAGGGGAAGACACAAGGAACTTGAGTAAGGCACTCGGCCGACTGCGGGACAGGCGGTTTGGGTCCACTGCTCACGGAGTGGCTCGAGTGTGAGATGCCACTGGTTCGTGTGTGAGCCTTGATGGGGGAGCGACATGGGCCAGCGGCTGGACAAGGCGGATTCTGAGAGAAGAGGGCTGAATTGACGTTAAAAGTGATAGAGAGGAAGAGGAAGAGGAAGACGGGAGATTATTGGTGATGTGGCTGAGCAGATTCGCAGCTTCCGCCACCTTTCTAGTTCCTTTCCAACGTTGGACTCCCGCAGCGGCCGGCAAGGGTCTTTTTTGGAGGGGCACAGACAGAGCCTGGAAGTGGATGGAGGGGGCAGAAGAGGGAGTAGCGTTGTTTCGATAGGTAGAAGAGGTCCCTGTGAACAGCGGGCAGCGGGGGGTTCGTTTGCGTTTGCGGTTGTTCTGGTCCCTTTTCCTTGTTCCATCCCGTGCCACCCACCTCACCACAAGGTAAATCATGCCTGATACCAGCACCGTTGCGACGTCGTGTTTGTGTTTCTGCTCTCGAACATCTCTGGCCGCGTTGAACAAGACGGGACAGCGCTCATTGCCTGAAAAGACTTCTTGTCCCGTCCCATACCTACCTATGCCACTACGCAAGGCAAGGCAAGGTAAGGTACTTTAGGTACCTAAGTAAAGTAGATACGTACTCAATGGAACCCTCCCTCAGGCTTTGGGGGGATGGGGCGCGGCGATCCACTGAGAAAAAGTACCTTCAACCTTGTGCTGCTGAAAGTACCTTGCGGTGAGTTGTGGGCATAGAGATACCTTTTCAAAGTTCTAGGTAAGGTAGGTAAGAAGTGCCTTACGGTGCAACATCGCAGCGTCTCGGAGGTACGTACCGCTTCGTGAATGGCATTTTCAATCTCGCTCTCGCGCCCAAATCAATTTGGCTGCTGCTGGGCTGCCGGCGCCTGCCAAACACATTCACTCATTCATCGTGTATTCGTGACTACGCCTCCTTCTTCCTCCTCCCCCCTCCTGTCATCTAACCTTGTTCCCTTGTCACCGTCCTCCCACACCCCGGGACTAGACCAACTGCATTTTAACCTCTCCCCGTCCCCTTCATCTCGACACCGGAGGCTCGTTTCTCTCCAACTTCTCAACATTGCCGATCCACTGCTCTCAGGCCCGCGCCTCCAGTCACTTTCCTTGCCAAGCCGTTCCGACTGCCGTTTACCGACATCTACCAGATAGAGAGAGCGAGAGAAATAGAAAGCCAAGAAGACGCACAACGCGCAGACATACATTAGTTCGCCACGCGGCGCAACGGCCATCCAGCATCACATCCGTTCCAAAACTTTCCATTTACCCCGACTTCCACGCGCCAGGCGCATCCAGGATACCCCCTGGGCAATCGAATCGCCCATAAACACTTCAACAACCACCGATCCTCTCTAGCTTTTTCAACCCTCCACAGCGCGAGCACCATGTCCAAAACAAAGATTCCCAATCTCCCTGATCTCTCTGATCTTCTCGACTACGATCACACTGTTGCTGGACAGTAAGTACTTGCTCTGCCTTGCTTCCCTCGCCCTCGGCGCCCCCTATGATCGACTAGGTGCGCTGCAAAGCCTCGCAAAGGAACCAAGACTCTGACGCTAGTTTGCCACTTTCAGTGCTGGAACCATGACCACTGCCGATGGCTCTATGTTCATCAAGCCCTGCACGCAGGCAGAGATCGATTTTTACCAGTCGGCCTATTCAGACCCTGCGCATTCCGACTTCAAAGAAATAATGCCCGACTTCTGGGGAACCTTGAGCCTCCTCGACCCTCTCGAACTTAGCTCTGTCGAAGACGGTGTTCCCGGTCCTGTCGCCTCGCCCGAAGCCAAGAAGGAGCTTGAGGCCTCCGTTACCGGACAGCCTCCGGCCAATTCGCATCAGGAGAATGGGAAGTGGGTGCAGAACAAGTCAAAGAAGATCAAGACCGATCAGTCGGTCGTCCTCAACAACTCTGGCTCGGGCTTCACCTCGCCCAACTTTCTCGACGTCAAGTTGGGCGTCAGGCTGTGGGCCGACGATGCGCCTGCCGAGAAGAAGCGCAGATTCGACGACATCACGAGCAAGACCACACACGGCCCCCTGGGCTTCAGAATCGCCGGTATGAAGGTCTGGCGCGGCTCCACCATGAAGTCCGAGCTGGATCACAATGACTACAAGGTATACGACAAGGACTACGGCCGCACCTACGTAAATACCGATAACGTTGTCGAAAACTTCCGCAAATTCATCTTCAACAAGGCCGCCGGTATCGACGACGAACTGGCACGCGCCGTTGTCACGGCTTTCCTCCATGACCTGCGAAACGTCGAATGTGTCCTCTCCTCCGAAGAAAGCAGGATGTACTCGGCCAGCTTGCTGTTCGTCTTCGAGGGCGATGGGGACAAGCTCAGGGAAGCTATTGCGCAGAACAACGCGGCCGTCGACAGTATCGTGGCCGCGGAGGCCAAGATTGAGGCAGAGGGCGAGAAGCCTGGTAGAACTACCTCCCGTGTGGATAGTGGCATCGAGCTGATCGAGGAAGACCGTGTGACGATCCATGTTCCCGATCACGGTAGCCTTTCAGACGACGATGACGACGACGAAGAAGAATTGCCCAAGGTCTTTACATTGAAACTCATCGACTTCGCCCACGCGCAGTGGACTCCCGGCCAGGGTCCTGACGAAAACGCGCTCAAGGGTGTGCGGAGTCTTATCAAGATTTTCGAAGAAATGGAAAAGGAAGAGTGAGATCCAAGCCCTCTTTCCTGCCGGCTCGATATAAGTTGCTCGGGATAAAGAGGCTACCGGTCCTCGACTTTTGCAGCAGCACCACCACGAAAAGTTTTTGCGGGCCATGATTTGTGCGATAAACAAAGACCATCATCTATCAGCAGGCTACAGACGAGCACGGTTTGCTCAACGATTACAATACCCAGATACAGTCGAGCGCGCTATGGTGCGAAGTAGAAGTCGCTCCTGAGGAGGACAACAGGCTCGCATCCATGATAACGACCTTGAGATACACCATCATCATCATCATCACACCAGGCGTCGGGGATTCCTTCACAGACTCATTCAATACCACTACTTTACTCTTATAACTTGCGTATCTGATGCTTCGTAGTCTGAAATGTGTCACTGCCGCATGCTAACGGCAGGGAACCTAAAAGTTACCTCGCATCAACTATGGGCCCTGCATGGAACCAATGCAGGCCGGCTGCACAGGTAGAACACGGACGACATGTACTAAGATTGCGGGAACCCCACATTGAGATGTTGCTCAGGCAATGCGGAAGGGTGGGTTAATATTCAGTGAGGAAATTGGGCGTGACGAATGCTCGGAAGTAGCGGTATCGTTGAGAGCTTCTCCTGGCAAAACACCTCAAACAGACCTAGGTACCCAGCCTAGTAATAATATATAACAGTATATGTGGTCGTAATGCAATGTTAGATACTGCCCCGATTGCATTGATTTGCGTCGGTTTGGAATACTGACACGACCTAAATGCAAAGCCTGGCAGATTCTATTCTGGAGATTGTGGGGTGGCATATTTGAGAGCTCTACACTACGGAGTACCAAAATTTGGGTACTTCTCAAGAGGTTCGAGACAACGCCGTGACTCTACCTAGATAGCTTGGTGCCAAGGTCTGACTGACTCTTCCGCTGCCAATGCCTCTGATTTCCGTCACCCATTCGTGCTTGTTCTTTGCACATCCGTTCTTGCTCAATAAGTTGCTCATTTAGTTCGCACGTTCATTTGAATTAGAGGCCTCAAGAGAAATGGGAAGGATTTCCAAAGACAGGATAGACGGGACCGAGAAAGTGGAAAAAGATAGCTGAACGAGGAAGCGGCCGCATGTAGATGGACGTTCAAGATTTCTGCAATTATGCTATATGCAAAACACAGATGAATTGGTTGTAGCTAGGTAGCTTTTCTACTAATTGAACCATGGACAGTCAACTGAAGGTGGTCATTCGGAGTCGGGGTGACAAAGCACGAGAAAGACTTCCGGCAGAGCAAGCCCACTAACAGTACGTACCTCCACCGGCTGGTGGGGCGAAGTCGGAACGGAAAGTGCTTTCTCCGACACTTCCCTGCCAGTGCTGTCATGTCTCGTCGCGCGCAGCGTGCAGCAATCTAGACTTTTTTGAGGCCTCAACCAGCGACCATCGCATTCCGAGGTCCTGTATTTCACCTGCAGGTCACCTACTCTCCGCCACCATGGACGACCTCTTGAATCTCGAGCTCTTGTCGCTCGTGTCCAAGGTCACGTCCGAACTGCAGAATCATTTGGGCGTTTCCGACAAGACCCTCGCCGAGTTCATCATCGCCCAGCGAGTCGACGCCGAAGACTACGATGGCTTCAAGAAGAAGCTGGCCGGCATGGGCGCCGATTTCCCTCCGAGTTTAGTCGAGAGCGTTGATCGCCTGGTGCTCACCATGCACCCAAAGATGAAGGGCAAAGCAAAGAAGAACAGCAACGGTGCTGGCACCAGCGACGAACACCACCACCGCAGCGCCGCAGAGAAGGACGAGATCTTCAGAGGCCTCTCGGTGCCCGACAAGCCGGTGGCGTACGACAGCATAGGTGACGGCGTCGATGCCATTGACGATACGCTGGCGCTTCTGGAAGGCTTGGAGGGAAAGGCGCGGAAAGATAAATCAGACTCGCGCAAGCGGAGCCGCAGTCCAGACGACGGGCGCGACTCACGGCGGAAGCGGAGGGGTCGGTCGAGGTCCAGGGAGCGGAGGAAGCGCGACAAGTACCGGTCGAGATCACGATCCTACGACGATTTCGAGAGCGGGCCTTCGCTGAAGCAGAGGAGTCGGAGACGCAACTACGATGACGAGGACGATGGACGCTTTAGGAGGGCGCCCGAGCCCGAAGTCGACGATGCGCCCCAGTTGCACAAGGTGTATGGGGGGCATGTCACGGGTATCAAGGATTTCGGCGCATTTGTCAACCTGCACGGCGTTCGTGGCAAGGTGGATGGATTGGTACACATTTCCAGGCTGGTGGAAGGTCAGCGGGTCAATCACCCGTCCGATCTGTTGGAAAAGGGCCAGGACGTCAAAGTCAAGGTTGTCAATATTGAGGGCAACAGGATAGGACTGTCAATGAAAGAGGTGGACCAAGAGACGGGTATGGATCTCTACCCAGAAGACAGGATATCCTCGGGCGCGAACATGCAAGCGTTGGGTGGCGGCGGCGGCCGGAACGGAAACATGTTTGACGACGGACCGATGCCGCCACCGCAGCATCAGCCTCGCCGGCAAAAGAAGCGCATGACGTCGCCGGAAAGATGGGAGATCCGCCAGCTGATCGCGTCCGGTGTCGCGAAAGCCTCCGATTACCCCGACCTCGAAGAGGATTATAACGCGACACTGACAGGCGATGGAGAGTTGGAATTGGAGCAGGATGTCGATATCGAGGTTCGAGAGGAGGAACCTCCATTCCTGGCCGGTCAGACGAAGCAATCATTGGAACTGTCACCCATTCGAGTTGTCAAAGCACCCGATGGCTCTATGAACAGAGCTGCCATGTCGGGCACTGCGTTGGCAAAGGAGCGAAAGGAGCTGAAGCAACAAGAAGCGGAGGCTGCCGCGGCGGAAGACTCGAAGGTCGATCTCTCTGCGCAGTGGAACGACCCGATGGCAGATCCAGACAAGCGCAAGTTCGCCAGCGACCTACGAAACGCCAAGTCCCAGATGGCCCAGAGCAAGCCCGACGCTGTTCCGGAATGGAAGCGAGCGGTAGCGCCAAAGGACCAGACTTTCGGCAAGCGGACAAACATGAGCATCAAGGATCAACGAGAGTCGTTGCCTGTGTTCGCCTTTAGGCGGAAGTTCTTGGACGCTGTCAAAGAGCACCAAGTCATGGTGGTTATTGGAGAGACTGGTTCAGGCAAGACAACGCAACTGACGCAATATCTCGCTGAGGATGGCTTCGCCAACGATGGAGTTATTGGTTGCACACAGCCCAGACGTGTAGCCGCCATGTCTGTTGCTAAGCGTGTGGCTGAGGAGGTTGGCACACCCCTGGGCGAGGCTGTCGGTTACACGATTCGTTTCGAAGACAAGACCAGTCCTGCGACCAAGATCAAGTACATGACGGACGGTATGCTTCAGCGTGAAATTCTCGTCGACCCTGACCTGAGGCGCTATTCGGTCATTATGCTCGACGAGGCCCACGAGCGTACTATTTCTACGGACGTCTTGTTTGCACTTCTGAAGAAGACGATGAAGCGTCGGAAGGACCTCAAGGTTATTGCCACGTCAGCAACTCTCGATGCCGACAAATTCTCGTCGTACTTTGACGGTTGTCCTATTTTTACCATCCCTGGCCGCACATTCCCTGTCGAGGTGCTGTACTCGCGCGAGCCTGAATCTGACTACCTCGATGCTGCCCTCGTCACAGTCATGCAGATTCACCTTACGGAGCCGCCAGGAGATATCTTGTTGTTCTTGACGGGTCAAGAAGAAATCGACACGTCCGCCGAGATTCTATACGAACGGATGAAAGCGTTAGGGCCCAACGTTCCGGAGCTCATTATTCTACCCGTGTACTCTGCACTCCCCAACGAGATGCAGAGTCGTATTTTCGATCCCGCACCCCCTGGCTGCCGAAAGGTGGTCATCGCCACAAACATTGCCGAAACATCCATTACAATCGACAATATTTACTTCGTCGTTGACCCTGGTTTCGTCAAACAGAACGCTTACGATCCCAAGTTGGGCATGGATTCATTGGTCGTCACACCGATTTCGCAAGCTCAGGCAAATCAACGTGCTGGCCGCGCCGGACGTACTGGACCTGGAAAGTGTTTCCGCCTATACACCGAAGCAGCCTACCAGTCCGAGATGTTGCCTACAACCATCCCCGAGATCCAGAGGCAGAACTTGTCTCACGTCATTCTCATGCTCAAGGCCATGGGCATCAACGACTTGTTGCACTTTGATTTCATGGACCCCCCGCCAATCAATACGATGCTTACAGCGTTAGAAGAGCTATACGCGCTCAGTGCCCTAGATGACGAGGGCCTGCTGACGCGTTTGGGACGAAAAATGGCAGACTTCCCCATGGAGCCGTCTCTGGCCAAGGTTCTCATCATCTCTGTTGACATGAAGTGCTCAGCCGAGATGCTCATCATCGTCGCCATGCTCAACCTCCCCAACGTGTTTTACCGCCCCAAGGAGAAGCAATCGCAGGCAGACCAGAAGAAGGCCAAATTCCACGACCCGCATGGCGACCACCTGACGCTGCTGAACGTCTACAACTCATGGAAGCAGAGCAGCTACTCGAGCCCCTGGTGTTTCGAGAACTTCATCCAGGCGCGTTCAATGAAGCGCGCCAAGGACGTGCACGACCAGCTCGTCAAGATCATGGACCGGTACCGTCACCCCGTCGTCAGCTGCGGACGGCACACGCAGATTGTGCGGCAGGCGCTTTGCTCTGGCTTCTTCCGCAACGCGGCGCGCAAGGATCCGCAGGAAGGGTACAAGACGCTCATCGAGGGGACGCCGGTGTACCTCCACCCGAGCTCGGCGCTGTTTGGGAAGCAGGCCGAGTGGGTCATTTACCACACGCTCGTGCTGACGACCAAGGAGTACATGCACTGCACGACGAGCATCGAGCCCAAGTGGCTCGTGGATGCGGCGCCGACGTTCTTCAAGGTTGCGCCGACGGATCGGTTGTCGAAGAGGAAGCAGGCGGAGAGGATCCAGCCGCTGCATAATAAGTATGCTGGGGAGGACGACTGGAGGCTGAGTGCGCAGAGGAAGGGCGGTCGTGGCGGTGGTGGTGGCGGGACGTGGGGTTAATTCCCCGGCGGGCAAGGCCCATCCCATGAGGAGGGAAGCCAAGGAAAAGGGGAGGGCGGGTGGATTGTATGGATATGTAGACGGCGAGGATTCAGGTTGTTATAGCTCAGTGAATATACCCAAGAAGAGAGATCTGATGCACATATCTTACGTATCTGTCAATGTTCTGGGATGGCGAACGCGTCACCTGTGATCCTCAAGGCTCATGACGAGGGCTGTCTAGAATTTGTCAGCTTGGTGTTTATCTTCTTGTTGGCCTTGCGTTGCTGTGTAGAGTAGTAGCCAAGACTGGTTCGTAGAGTCGCAGACTCGGCGAGAGCCTCATCGGAATTGGTTCGGAACTGCCGGGGGAGACAGCCCGCCGCGGACTGAACCCATGTACTACGCGAGAGTCAAGTCACTTAGCCAGGACGCCGGGAATGTGAGAAATGGATCGGGATGGGCTAAGGATCGATTCGCATTCGCCGATATGAGGATGACTTGGCTTTCATCACGACTGAACCCTTGGCGTTGTGTTGAACCTGAGGTCTGAGAGTGGTTTCCGGGGGCAGATTGATACCGTGTTGCCTATGTCCAAGACTCCCGGGTCTCACGTCGCTGGAGACTTTGAATGACTTCCGACTTCACTCGGCCGATAATATGAACAAGGGGAACGGGAGAGGCAGGTCGGAGCCGTTCTTTGCACCCGACTCGGCCATGTAAGTGGTTTGTAAGGGTTCTAGAACAGAAACTTGGCAGGGTGTCGGATATGCATAATCCGTAGACGGGAAGATCTCAATAGCGTTAGAGCCAGTCGTACGGACACTTTACTCCAGCTCCCCTATCAATCTGGCGGTGATGGAGGCCGCTGATTTAGACTTTGTCGGTAAGAGATGGGAAATGATACGATGCACTGAGAATGACTCGCAGCGGGGTTCTAAGTGTTCTTTTCACTCCTTCTCCAGCTTCTCTTCCTTGCCTTAGGTAAGGGAAGAATCCCAGCAGGCGATCAATCAAGGAACCCTCCCTTGCCAAATTTAGTGGTTAATTCTGTATATTAACTGCCAGATGCTTCCCGCTGCGAGGGTGAACTCTAAAATCGCCTTGGGCATAAAGCCTACGGCAACGTCCATCGGGAAAATGTGGGCTTCCTTTTTTTTCATGGTTCTAGTGATACCGCCAAGACGTTTCGGGATGGGGATGCGTTCAACAGCGCTCTCTGCGAATGGCTTTATGCGGCAGTGGTCTAAGGGGTTGGTTTCGGCGTTTGGCCTGATGTTTCCGAGGGGTAGATCACGTAGAAGGTATTACAATTACGTGGAGACCTCAACGGATTCTGGTGTGAGTTGGTCGGATAGTGGGGGAATGGAAAACGGAGGGTTCCTGTTTTTACAATAAGCTTGAATGCCCCCTCTCTCACAATTCTACCTACATTTGGGAAAACCCGGTCTGGAGTTTCTTTCTTTGATGGATGGAGGGCGGGTCTATTCGAATTTATAGTTAGGATAAAACTGCAGGCACTTGACGAAGAAAAGTTTGGATGGCATCTGTCAGAATTGCAGTGCTGTTTCCAGGTGTCATGAGACGAGACGACGAACAACACTTCCGACGACGACACTAAGAAGTTGAATAACTCTTCCAACAAGACGAAGCAGCATTAGCAGCAACGAACGAGACATTTGCTTACACGCCTTGCATGTATTCGACGGAGCCGACGCCGCGATGACACGCCACTACCGGCACTCGGCCCTTGGCCTCGCCGCTGTCCTCGCGCTGCTGTCCGCCACTACGAACCTGCCCGACCTGATGTTGGTGCCCGGTGTTGTGGCGGTAGAGGACCTGGAGGCCGAGGACGTCCCGCCTGAGTGCGCTCAGGTTTGCGCGCCGATCGTACAGCTCACGGCGCGGTGCGAGGCACAGGTGGAGGCCCAGTTTGGGACGGATAAGCGGGATCTATCGATGCGACGATATCGAGATGGGTTGGTAAGGGATAGAGAGATCAGGGAGGGAAGAGAGCGGAGAGGGGACGGAAAGAAGAGGAGGAGGAGGAATCTACAGAAGATGCTGGGTCGGAGACTCAGCGGGAGACAGGAGCTGGAGTCAGAGGATAGCAGTGACGACGAAGAGGAGCCCCCGGCGAGTCTGGCTCCGGGATCGGGGCTCGCTGCGGTGCCTACTTTGGGTGTCGGACGCTCAGCGAGCGCGGAGGATGCTGCGAAGGAGGCTGCGAAGGAGGCTGCTGAGGCGGCGGCGAAGAATGCTTCGAGGGTGTGTGTTTGTGGGGAGAGGGGGTTTGACGTTGCCGGGGCTGCGTTTGGGTGTTTGTTGTGTGTTTCGCGGAATGTTACGGCCGTGGAAGCTAATGAGGGTGAGTTGACCTCTTGCAAGAGTCGAAATAGTTGACAAGTTTCGGCTGTTTGAATGGAAGGTGGCTGTGCTGACGATGAGGTGCAGATATCAGAGAGATCATTGGAGAATGCGGCTTCGTTGCCGCACCGGCCGCTCCGGCTCCGGCACCGCCGGTACCGCCGGCGACGATTTCTACGACTACGACTTCCTCTCCGCCGGTAGTGCCGCCGCCGGTGTTAAACCCAGCCGTAACAACAACGTTACCGGCAAACTCGGCCCCCGTGCAGCCTTTCCCGTCATCATCTACCTCTTCAACCTCGTCGTCAATACCCTTACCGCCAGCGCCGGTTGTACCACCCGCCATCCAGACATCTACCTCAACAACTGCATCCCCGCCGATCATTCCACCGGCATTTCAGACTCCTTCAACATCGCCCACTCCGCCGCCGCCATCCGTACCCCCCGTTGACGGCGCGTCTTCAACCCCGTCTTCAGAGTCCATTACGCCGGTGACGGTGTTTGTTCCGCCGAATTTCCAGACGCTGCCGTCCATTGTGCCTCCGAATGACTTTCGTAACGCACCATCTTTGCCTGATGCGGACGGGAATCAAATGAGCGGTGCGGAAGGAGGGTCTGGATTACTCCGGTCATGGGGGGCGGGTGGTGCGTGGGTGGTAGTTCTGGCTTTGGTCATTCTAGTTTAAAGACGAGGATGATGTTATTGGCCAGATCCCAAGCCTACAAGCAATGTCTAAACCTAAAAGAAGTTCTGTCTTGCTTCACTCGAGGTTTCCGTGGCTGAAAGATCATTGTTTGATACCGCGTTGAGGTAAAGGAATGACCTCGACCAGGTTCTAAAGACAAGTCCAAGCTCCCACGTGCAAATTGAAGTCGATCTGATATTGCTGCACAGTCTTCCGACTTAGTTATGGGACTGCTTAGAGGCTTCCATTGCTGGATGTAAGATCTTGGTAAGGTTTGAGTAGAACATAGTTTATCCTTGCATTAGCATCCGGTTCCTATATACTACATGAGTCCGTGTGGTCCTGCAGTACTGAGAAGGGGCTTTGCGAACTCAATTGACTAACCGGCTTGTACAAGGTTCGGATTGTAATAGGAACCGATTTAGGTTGTGTAGTTTTTAGAGAGAAGCCTGTCATCTCTTGTTTCTTGTCATTAGTAACCCGCTGCAGAATGTCATTTGGTTCATTTACGGCTATTCTCTAATCCGAAATCATGGATGCATAGCGCTCTTACTAGGAGGATAGCCTCGCACTAGAAACAATGCTTCATAGTATGAAGTTTTGATGCAAGGTAGCAGTCGATTGCTTATGGGAGACCAGTCTCTTTCCGTTCCGTTAAGAGCATATGAACAATGTGTCAGGACACTCAGAGAAGTACGATTGTGTTTCTGTGTGTTCCACATTGGAAGAGTTCAAGAGATGTTGCCTACTTGCTCCATCTTTCGGGAACCTTATTCCTACAATTTCCTAGACGAGGGGCATGCCTAGATTATCTTCTTCATGGGAAAGATATCGAAAAGCACTTTTATGTAACAGCTCTTACTACAATAGTCACTAACAGACGGGGTATTACAAAAAGTTTAAAGTCTGGAGTCATAATGGCCACAGCCACGCCGAAATGCTATTCATGCCATTGCCTTGGAAAACTCAAGAGCAAACCCACGCGGGATTGGAATGCAACGTCAACCAAGCTGAAATCAAGTCAAGGGCCGATCATAGCCCGAATAGTGGCACTTCCGAAGCAGTGCCGTTGCAGTACTAGGGGATGTATCCGTAGGCGAGAAGGCGTACTCCACTGGGCCGTGCGGTCCAGATGTGCCGTCCACTAGATGCCGTAATGCAGGCAGAAAGTTCTGCGGCACTTGCTTAATGATCAAACGGAACCGGAGTCATAACTTTGGACCAAAGATCTGTGTTGGTTGATCAAGGGACTTCGCCCAGGCAGTGGGAGTTTAGCGTGATCGCGAGATCGTTAGCGAGTGTTTCAGTCTTCTGCGGATTGGACCAGCTGATGTGGACAGGTGGTATCCGCCACCACGAATAGCTGAAAGCATCGTTGCCAAAAGGGCGGATACTCGACGCAGAGCAGGGCTATGATCTGGCCTGTATAGTCGTGTGCAATATTAGTCGCCTTACTGTTCATATCGATTGGAGCAGATGGGTGGTACCAAGCCCACTGCTTTTGTGAGTGATAAAAAGCGTCCAAAAACTAGATTGTCACACGAATCAATAATGACGACTTTGCTCAATACAATGGGGTAATGTTTCTGTCTTGACACTCGAAATACTGGTTCAATAATATTGAGGCGCAGGCTCAATATCGAAATTCGAAATACAGGATGTCACCCAGTCGTGAGAGTCCAAGAAGAAAGTCGGTCAAGCAAGGTGAAGGAGATGAAGGGACACCATATTTAGTACGCGGACCTAAGGATCGGGGAATATTCCTTGATATCATCTCACGGTCCACCAACTGGGTCTCGCCTTCATGTTGTTAGCCAAAGCTGAAAGAGGAGGTCAGACTGCCAGGGGCTCGTAGCCGAGGCAAAAGCGGAGCATATCAGCCATCAAACGAGGGCTGCCATCTGATATCCAAGAGAGTCAAAAACCACAAAAGGTGAGGGTCAGCAAAACAAAACCATTCTCAAGGTGACTTCTCCAGCCAGGTTTGAAAATAACCTAGGCTACAATTTGATATTTGTGCAACTCCGCCATACGGAATGCTCCGTAAACGATGACCTGTGCAACACAAGTTGACAAGACAGGGCATCCACATCCAAAATCCGTGCCGCTTTTTCTTGATAGCTCCACCGGGGCGGACCTCTTCGCTAATACAGATTCGAATACGACCGCCGGCCACTACGCCGCGGAAACCAGCCCTGTGAACGTCTGGATTGGTCGTTGACTTCCGGAGCGGGAGGCTCAGCCCCTGAGCGGGAGCAATCAAAGCGACACGTTTTTTCTGCCCTTGGAAGTTGGGAGTTGGAGCCCTCCAATCCCGAAAGGGATGCGTAAACGGGTGTGGAAAACTTGGAAGAGCTCGGCAACTTGACGGGTTTAACGCGCCGCGTGGCCAGAGGACCAAAGACAGTCCGCCGCTCTGATGTAACGAGACTAAAAGAAGACCGGCGGCACTTAGGACGATTCGTGAGCTGTCAATATTTGAAACAAACGGCAAGACACTGAGAGCGAACTAGAAAAAAGAAGAGACTTGAAGAAAAGCCGCTGGTCTAGAGGATTCGATCCAACGGTGCAGGAGATCTTTGCCAATCACGCCCCCAAGAGCGACCGGCGCCATCAAGATCTCGGCGGCTTGAGTGAGACAATCCCTGTCTAGCGCGGGACAATGGCTCGAATGGTCAATGGAGAAAAATAATAGGGGAACGGCGGAATCCTGCCCGTCACTTCAAAGAAAAACAATCCACCATGTCCACGACATCCACTCAGACCACCATCAGGCCCCCGTTACAGTCCAATTCGAGCCCACCTTGTCCCGATCAAGGGTCTGTTCCTGGATGTCAAGCAGGGGGTGGGCTTACACACATGTGCTCTCCGCTTCATTGGCCTCGGGACGACGACACCTTTGCGCGGACTGTGCCTGAGCCGCCTGCCAACCGCCGTGCCGTTCCTGGCATGCCATGAACGAATGCGGACTTAGTGCGCATGCGTTTATGTGTTGGTGTGTTTGAGGTTTTCTGGGCCTGCAGGAAACATATTCTTGTGCCCACTCACAAGCGCATATGTCAATGCACAAGTGGCATAGAGACATGGACATGCGAGGGGTGGAACCACGACTACTTACGTATGTTGGCAGACGATGCACAAGACCTTTGATATATTTCCAGAACCGGGAGCCACTGTCAAGGGGTCGAGGGGAGAAGCGGGCTATGTATGTTCTAGTTCGTTCTCCATCCAAAGCCCCTGGACGAACCAGTGCTCCCGGTACTTCTCATCAAGGCTCTGTCGGTACGAGGAGACCCAATGAGAATGAGATTGCTGGAGAAACAGGTAGGTCGTAGACACCCTTGAGCATCTCAGCCCGTCTCTCCGCGGGTGAATCGAATGGCCAGGAGCAAATCTGGGTCGACCGTCTTTTTTCGGGTCGGTATAAGACTCATGGTAACCCCATGGGAGCAAGCGCCTTGCGCATCTAGGCCCTCCTTCTCACCTTCTTTCAAGATTCCTGTTCTGGTCTCTTAAGTCATTCTTTTGTTCAAAAACAAGCCTTCCATATTCTTCATTCTGTTCACTCACTTCACATTTCGAAGACCCGTTTCTGTCGTTTCTTAATTGTGTTTGATATTTCCAGTTTCTGTCGTTCTGTTTAGTTATTCCACCTAAGTTCCATTCCTCATATCCATCTTTAGCCCACAATGGCGCCTTCGCTTCTGTCCACGCTCTCTTCCGCCCTTCTGCTCACGTCATCCGCGACTGCTACTCAGACATACCAACTCGCCGACAGCTACGACTCGACCAACTTTCTTGAGAAGTTTGGTTTCTTCACGGTATGTCTCAACTCGATGAGGGAGGCATCAGACCTTTGACTGACCACCTATCAAGAGCGACCACTCCACCGGAAACTACAACGATGTGGACCCCACCGGTGGATATGTCAGCTACAAGTCGGCAGCTGATGCCCAGAGCATGGGTCTTGTGAAGACTGAGGGTGGTGACCTTTACCTCGGTGTTGACTCTACATCTACCCTCGATGCCGCTGGTATCGGCAGAAGCAGTGTAAGAATCGAGAGTACGGCCAAGTATGGCCAAGGGCTTTTCGTCATCAACTTTTCCCATCTTCCTAAGCCTGTCTGCGGCGCCTGGCCTGCGGTGTAAGTTGCTTCCACGTCCTTCGACCCATCCATAATGCTGATAAGACATTCCTAGCTGGACCGTCGGTAACCCTTGGCCCGCCGCCGGCGAAATCGACATCGTTGAGACCTGGAACGAGGACAATGTGAACAAGGTCGTCCTTCACACCGACGGCACGCTCGGCGAGTGCCGCATCGACGGCACAAACATGACCGGAACCATCAGCAAGCCCAACTGCGCAAACTACGCCGCAGGCCAGTCCGATAACGAAGGCTGCGCCGGTCTTGATGGCGCTGCCCCCTTTGGATCCGCCGAGGGAGGAGTTTACGCCATGCAATGGACCGACACCGCCATCCGCGTCTGGGGCTTCACGCACGCTAACGTCCCCGCCGACATCGCGAGCGCCAACCCGAACCCCGATGCCTGGGGCACGCCCAGCTTCACCACCAGCACCTGCGCCGCTGACAAGCTGTTCGAGGAGCAGAAGCTCGTTGCCAACATTGACTTCTGCGGTGTGGCTGGCGACGATGGTATCTGGACTCAGACCTGTGAGGCGAAGACCGGCATGACCTGCAAGGAGTATGTTGCCGCCAACCCGACCGCCTTTGCCGATGTCTTCTTCAAGATCAGCTCCATCAAGTACTACAACCTCAAGGACGGCAACGCCACTGCCTCTGTTATCTCCAGCTCGGTTGCCGCTTCGACTGTTGCTGCCTCTACCTCTGTCGCGCAGACCGCTGTCGTCAGCTCCTCCCTGTCCACTGGCGTGGCCTTCGAGAAGCCCGTTGCCACTTCTGCCGCCGCTGTTGAGAGCTTGAATACGCGTCTGGCGACCTCCACCGTTTACGCTACCAACATCAAGACAATCACCTCCTGTGCCGCCGAAGTCACCAACTGCCCGGCCCGCGAGACCCCTCAAGTCGTCACCGAGGTTGTCCCTGTCACTACCACCATCTGCCCCGTTGTCGACGTCCCTACGCAGTTGACCGTCATCAAGACTGAGGTCCACACCATCACCTCTTGCGCCCCTGAGGTAACCAACTGCCCCGCCCGACAGACCACCGTCACTAGCCAGGCAGTCATCCCGACGACCGTAGCCATCCCCGTCGAGAGCTACACCCCCTCGAAGCCCGCCGGCGGCGATGCCCCCATCACCGTCAGCTCCCAGGAGCCCGTCGCCGATATCACCACCGCCATCACAACCTACGAGACCAACATCATCACAATCACCTCTTGCGCCGCAGAAGTCACGAACTGCCCGGCCAGAACTTCCACTATCGTCACAAGCAAGGTCATTCCTACTACGATCCCCGGTGTCCCCGCCGTGCCCACCACCGCCAGGTCCGCGAAGCCCGTCGTCACTGGCCAGCCTCCCGTCGAACAAATTACCACCTACCTCACCAACATTGTCACCATCACCTCCTGCGCTGCAGAAGTGACCAACTGCCCTGCGAGAACCTCCACTATCATTACCAGTGCCGTCGTCCCCAAGCCTACCACCGAGGCAGGCCAGAAGCCCGTCCTTACCACTGACGTCCCCACCGTCTTGACCACATATAAGACCAACCTCGTCACCATCACCTCCTGCGCCGCGGAGGTCACAAACTGCCCCGCTAGGACCTCCACTATCGTCACCAGCGAGCTCATCTCCACCACGGTCCCTAAGCCCGTCACTACCCCTGTTGTCGGTGGCACTGACGTTTCCGAGAAGCCTGTTCCTGCTACTTCCGGTGCTTCTACCGCCCCTGGCGCCGGTGTTCCTACTGTTGGTGTTCCCGCGCCCAGCAGCACCGTCTCCGCCGAGAAGCCCGTCCTCGAGACCCCCGGTGGCCCTCCCCCCATTCCAACAACCTTGGTCGTTGCGCCGTCAGATGGATACAACGGCACTCTGACTACCGCCGTGATCCCTGTCGGAACCGGATCTACCTCTCCCTGTGTCGGCGCCGCTTGCTCGGCAACCACCACCGGCCCCGTTCAGGCCGGTGCTGGTAAGCTTAGCTCCGGCGGGCTGCTTGCGGCTGCAGCGGCATTGGCTGTTCTGGCCATCTAATGTGAGATGTAATCTGCCATGTTATGCAGAGAGAGTTGTTTTTTCTTCTGTCGTCTTATTTGTATACTATATGGTTCTCATAGAGCGCATATACCCTTCGGTTAGCATAGGAAGCGTCGGAAAAGCGCAGGCCAATGTATTATTCAACTGTTCATCTACCCCGTATTGAGTCACGCGACGCACCCTTTCATTTTGACGCGAATAGAGAAGATGGAAATCGTAGATGAAGTCAGCTTCTCAATCAAAGGTTATACCTTTGATGCATGGTCTTGGAGGGTTGCATCCGGGTTACCTTGTGCAGATTAAAACCTCACGTACTAGGAAGCGGGCCGTACCGCAAGACCGAACGCCTCCGTATGTCACGTGCTGAGTGTGGTTTGGTCGCGTGTGAAGATTGAACCCTTGATGCATCGTAGGCGCAAGTACCTCTGCAGCTTCATTCACTCTAGCTAAGAGAATAAGTGTGTTAACACCTGCTTCAGCTCCTGAGATGACATGAACTAGTCGACGCACTTGGTCTGGTGTAATATGTAAGCAAATGAGCAGGTAGTCCCTCGAATATCATCTTGGCTCTAGCCAGTCTAGCGGCATGCCAGTGCCGTGATGTCTTGGTGAGACACCCCGCCTCCTCGTCATCAAAGCGCGCCAGGGCTGCAAGTGGAACGGACTCCAAATGACCGCCGAACGACGTCAATTAGCCTTTGAACATCAAAGGGTTTCCCCCTCACCTCGGTCAAGGTAATGACAGCGCGGCGTACAGTATCTCGATTCCAGCGGGTATGCGAGCCGTTTTTTCCCTATTGAGGAATCCTACCGCAGCTTAGCGGATACGCGATGACCAGCTATGTACGTCACGAACGCTGGGTTTCGTATTCCCTTCCCCTCACACCGTGTAACCGCATGCCGGTGGTGCAATACACCAAGATTGCGCCTTCGTGCCACGAGTGGTCAAGGAGACTTTGAATGTTTGGCTTTTGTCATAAAGTCTGCTGCCGCTGTCTGATAGTACAGTTGCAGTTCTTATTCTCTCACCAAATCAAAGTGAAAGCCCCAAACCATCCACTTGTGTGGAGTTCGTGATCTTATCCACATTTACTCGCCAACTTCTCATCATCCACACATCGACGTCATAATCATGGCTGACCCAACTGTCATTGTCCTGCCCGGATCAGTTGATAGCTCCCATCGTACTGATCAGGAAAGATCGCAGAGTAAGTTTTGTAGGCACGGCAGCACTCCATGTGGATTAGAAAACTTACAGCTGTTCTCTCACCTTCTTAGTTGCGTCAAAAATCCAGAACGCCTTAAACGACGGACAATCGCCAAGATCCGCGCAAGATGGCCCATTGCGACAGGTTTTGGGTTGGTGTACCTCATTCCGTCACTAATAACAACATAATAACATTTCACGCAGCTCAACAAGATAGCTTCTACAAGTATATCAACGTACATACTCATGTGGCACCACTACTATAACTTTGCTAATTCGTATCTTTAGTGGGAAGATCCTCTACGCACCCTTGGTGTGTATATCGGCACCTTGAGCATCTTGTTCGGGGCACACTATTTGCCCCTCACTCAGTTTGCATTGAAGGCGGCGGTCACTACTCTTGGAGGTAAGACTAAACACATATACTGATGTGAGCCAGCGCTTAAGTTGTTTTTTAGCTGTCTCTGCTGCTGAGTATGCCAGCCGGTCCTTCAGTTCTGACTCGTTGTCCACACGCCTTCGACCGAGACAGTACAGAAGAGTGCCAGAGTCTACTCTCAACAACACTCTGAGAGATGTTCATGACTTCATTCAGTACGCAGTCGTAGAAGCTCAACGAATTGTCTATGGCGAAGACTTGGGAAGAACGTTTGGCGTAAGTAAACACTAGATGCAAACTCAATCTGGCACGTGATATAGAATGTCGTGACTGACACATCTTCAGGCCTTCGTCGGCTTTGCATCTTTGTATGCGCTCATCAAAGTCCTGTCTCCGTTCTGGTTAGCTGTAGTCGGGGTGACTGCCATTTTCGTTGCTCCTCTCGCGGCCTCGCCTCAGGGACGGCAGATCGCCCATGACGCCACTGTGCAGGCTCAAAATGCGGCAAATGTGACAGCTCAGAAGGGCGCAGAACTCGCTCGCGATGGACAAGCAAAGACGTCGGAGCTGTCCTTCAAGGCCCAACAAGCTGCGTCTGATGCGAGCACGACCCTCGGAAACGCTGCTCGGAGCGGTCAACAGACGGTCTACAACGCCACCAACAACACTGCTGAGAAGGCGAGAGACTTGCCGCAAGCAGGCACAAATGCACTCAACAATGCTTCTGGATCTATATCATCTACTTTGGGAGATGTAAAGCACACCGTCACTGGCTCATCGGCGAATGACAACAATCGGACTTTTGACGAGAGATCTCGTCAGCCGCCCTCCGGATACGTCACCAGCACCGGATCAGATGGCCTCTCTCGATCGTCAATCAACGAAACGGAGATCCCGAGACGTGCCCCTTTGAATCTTGAGGATCAGCTCTCGGCCGAGCAGTCTGGCCTACCTACACTTCCTAGGTCCCTGCCAGTCAAGTCTGATATTGAGGGATTGGGAAATGGAACGGCTACGATTCTCCGATAAAGAAATGGCTGTGTCGGCGCTATTGATCAATAATCGTTGATTAGAGAAGGAAATACCTAAAGTAGCCTCGAAGAAACAACTGTGAACTCAAGGCTGAATGCGTCCATAATGAATTTCACATATTGAAATCAGTTATCCCGAAAAGCTTGTGCTATACTTGTTAGTCCGTAAAGGAACGAAGTCCCCGAGGCTTGGTTCGGCTATCACATTGGGGAGATTAGAGGTCTTGATGCGCCGGAAATTCATACTGCGACTCTCTTACAAATCTTTGGAGAACCTTTTCTAGTATAATGAAAGTTCGATTTCCGAAACCAGACAGAATCAAGCTTGAAGTGGACTAGGCTTCGTGAATAAGGCGGATGCAAGACTTGTCGACGGATATTTTTGATGCCAAACAAATGGAAATGGAATTAGTTTTCCGTATGGGAAAACATAGTTACTGTATGGATTTCAGATTGAGAAGTCGCGAGCCAGTCGTCTCAACTTAGTGCGCGCAGTGGGACATTATGTTTGCAGCAGCTGAGCAGACGAACGTATGACAAGAATGCTTCCTAAGTACGGCTTCGTCTCAAACCTTATCTTGTGACGACTTTCAACTTAGTGTTCACCCAAATACCTGAGCACCACACCCTTTTCGACTGGAGCTTAAGTATCCTTATCAATGCGATACAGCAAAGTCCCATGCCCGAACGAATCATACCCGCCCGAGTTGGGACTGTAGTCACCACCGCCACCTTCAATGTTGGCGGTTAAGTTGCCATTGACAAAGTCACGGAACTCCATTGACCATGAAGCATCGAGACCCTTAACTTCCGCATAGTGGGAGTAGAGAGCTTCATAACCAGGTCGTACATCAAATCTAGCTTTTGGGGCCACGACCTCCAGCACACCTTCCCAGCTACGATAAGGCGTATAAGGAACAGTGTGGTTGGTATTGTACTTGGCAACATACTCGGCGCTAGTTTCAATTAGCGACCTACCAGAAAGTCTGGAATGGGAGAAAAATAGAACTCACGCGTTTAGGATCTGGCGGCCAAAGGTGTCGAAAAGATCAACTCCCTGGTTCCAACCTTGTTGCCCAATCACTCCGATGAGAGCGATGCAGAGCAAAGCATGCCCCTGGTCCCGGCCAGACTCCTGAATCTGCATGAGAGTCTTTCCACTACCTTCTTCCGTGAAGTTTGCGATTGAGAAATAGGGTAGGGCACCATTAGCAACAACCTCGGGCTGACCCGGAATCCCGTGCTTTAAGTAGTTGACCGCGTAATCGTACATGGTTCTGTTGTCGTTGAAGATACCAATCGCCATCAACGAAGCAATGTTGCACAAGTCCCAGTTGGCGTAATAGAAATCCGGTTTGTTGTAGTGGTGCTCGAGGAAGTCGTGGTTGTACACCGCGAAGACGCCGTTCAACATTTTGCCAAAGGCTGTCTGGTTCTGCTTAGGCCAGCCGGAGTATCCACGCAGGAGTTCGGCGGCGTTGGCAAACTGGTATCCGTAGAGCCCTGCCGCGAGATATTTGTCTTCAGTGCCGTTGATATCGACAAGGGTAGAGCTCCAGCCGTCGAGGATCTTGGTTGCATGGTCTGCGTAGGAAGTGTTGCCTCCGATCAGCCATCGAATAGCCAGCTGGTATGCTGAGTGAGCATCGCGATAGGCATAACCGTAGTTGTTGGTTGGCGCAAAGGTGGTGTTTGTGCCACGGACAAGAACCGACTGCGGCGTTGGCTTCCACGAGGTCTGAGCCAGTTTTCCGGCTTCTAGGTGCTGCCAGGCTCGGTACCAAGGCTGATCCTGGGCTTGGACATGGCTCTTGATTCTCGCGAAATCTTTCGCGGAATGCAGAGCGCCTGGATGAGCGAATGGCGTGTCATTCAGGCCATGTAGCTTCTCGAAAGGTGAACCTGCCACACTCCATGACAATAGAGGCAAGAGGAAAGCGGCCTTGAGACGCATGATGACTGTTTGAGACCTAAGAACTGTGATAGAGGTGTGCTGCCAAGAATTGCCTCAAAAAACGAAATATTGGACATAATGAAGGTCTTATAAATGGCATTTGATGGTACGAAAGTCTCCCCCACAGCCTTTGGGCAACATGAGGAATCTGAAGGTGAATCGTCAATACCATCCCAAAAGAGTGTGCATACACAGCTCCGGCGCAATCTTCCCTGGTTGACGCCCGATCCATGCTTAACCCCACAAACGCGGGGTGACAAGACGCGGCCCGCTGCGTTGCGTGGCCATCCTTCCTGATCGGCACGGGCGACACCGAGATCTCTCCCGGATTTCCGGGTACGTGAGACCTGGTCGAAGTGCGGGCCTTGCAAACGAAGCCGAGGAAGCCTCGGCAAAGACACATGTTCCGACGAAATTGGAAACTCATTCGAGCGGCTCATTCCGTGAAGCCTAGACAGATCAACGAACAGGTTAAAACCCTAGACTTTGATTCCCCGTACCATACTCCGTGATCAACATGTCCTTTCCGTGTGTAATGCAGCTTTACATCCGCATTTTGACGGGCAAACCGGCACAATGGGCGAAGCCAATTAGCAACTATATTCTGTGTAGGGTCTCGTCGACTGATGCTACATATCACTAGGTTCCACCAAGGCAGCTGTGGTAGCATTCACACACTGCACACCGAAAGAGCACGTTTTCCTGAAATGTCTGATCAAGGATCTACATGCAGCGACGGCTTTCAATCAAATCAAGTATAAAGACTACAAAGGAGAATAAAAAAAAGATCTAGAAACCAAAAGGCGCTGCGTTGGCGTCGTTGGGGCAACTAGCTACGAGTTGATCGCCAACTACGGCTTGAGAGTTCGAGACAACAACACCTCCAGCCGGGTCAGTCAGTGAGAAAGTGAAGCTGCCGCACTGTTGTGCATTGACAAATAATAGCCGAATTGGATAGTATTGGCCGGCCGTCGCAGTGAACGTGTAAGTGCCGGCGCTATTTGTATCGTAGTAATCGACATTTTTGTTGGCATTGGCATTGCTGAAACCAGTCTTAGCGTTATTGCCTAGCCACAGGTAGATGCCATCGTCGACATTACTGAAGCTGAAAATGTACGTGCCAGAAGTGGCCGGATAGAAATATCCAATGTGTTGAACAATCATGAATTGGGACTGCCCGCTCGTCGTGGTTCCGTAGACGGTCCGAGTCGTGGTGGCGCATTGCTGCGCAAGACCAATGGTTGTTGTCCGACCCGTGTTATCAGGACTCTGTCCAGAGAGCACGGTGTTGATGTTGAAATAGGTCGTCTTCCAGTTTGCTTGACCATCAGCGCCATTACCGTGAGCAGGGATATTCCCGGAGCTACTAGCAGTCTCTGTTGGAGCTTGCGCAAGACCATAGTAGGCCCAGAGTAGCCCAGGGGTACAGCTCACGGTCGGACTAGTCGAGGATAAGGTAGACGTGGAAGAAGATGATGGCGTCACCAAAGTGATCACGCTAGTTGTGCCAGCCGGGTTGGTAGGAATTATTGTTGTCAGTCCTGTCTGTGTACCGGTTGATGTGACAGTGGCCAGGAAGCCAGTGATAGGAGCCGAAGTTGACGAGGAACTTGTGGTACTAGACGAGCTAGAACTGAAAGTAGAAGAGGCGTTTGGAATGGCAGTTGAGCATGATTCGGGATAGGCAAGCCCCGAGATATCGGATGAATTTGTTGTTCGTCCAGGCCCTGAAAACACAAGAGAAAGCGATGACGGACTCCCCCAGTTTCCAAAGACTGATCGAATTGGGTAGAAATATCCTGCAACAAGGTTGATGCTCACGCATCCCGTGTTACCAGATGCTGCTGCGAACCAGTATTGTGCCAGTGGAGTGCCCCCCCGAGGAGTTGCTGCGTTAGAAGGCTGGTCACAAGGAAACGCGCTGGCGCTGGCGAGATACAGAACATCACGGTTGTCGGCGCTAGGCGCGTAGCAGAATATGTAGGTGCCAGTTTGATCAGGGCGGAAATAACCAGTAAAGACAAGGGTAAAATTATTTGCGTTGTAGGTGATTCCCCTGTAAGTTTGGGTTAAGCCGTCGTAGTACTGGAAGGTTGCCGACGATCCTGGTGTCTGTGGGTTGTATGGCGTTGCGGTCGAACCAGCTGATCCCTGGAAAGGAACTCCGAGCGAATTTGTACTGCCCTGAGCGAGGGGGACTTGAGACAGGTAATAATCAGGTCCAACTCCCGAACGCCCATCGGAAACTCCATACCCACTGGCAACTTGAACAGAGTTGGCATAGGCTCTGAGAGTCAGTCCAGAGGCAGCGCAGTCCACCGGCGGCGTAGCGCAAGCACCGGAAGGTACGGGGCTGGTGCTTGTGCTCGAGGAGGTGCTTGTGCTGCTAGGCGTGACGAAGGTAATAACACTTGTTGTTCCAACTGGGTCACTCGGAATGATTGTTGTCAGACCCGTTTGTGTGGCCGTGGAGGTAAGGGTAGTCAAGAATCCGGTGGGAGGAGGCACAAACGTGATGATGCTAGTGGTGCCTGCAGGATCAGATGGTACAATTGTCGTTACCCCCGTTTGGGTCGCGGTCGAAGTGACAGTTGTGAGGAAACCAGTAGGAGGAGGAACAAAGGTTATGATACTCGTAGTTCCAGCAGGGTCAGATGGAAATACTGTAGTTGCTCCCGTCCGAGTGGCCGTTGATGTGAGGGTTGTAAGGAAACCTGTCGGGGGAGGTAAAAATGTAATAATGCTAGTTGTGCCAGCTGGATCACTCGGAATAATCGTTGTCACTCCCGTCCGGGTAGCCGTGGAAGTAAGAGTTGTGATAAATCCGGTGGGGGAGGCACGAACGTGATAACAGTAGTGGTCCCGAAGGGATCTGAGGGAGGAATAGTCGTAACACCCGTCTGAAAGGCGGTAGACGTCAAAGTTCTTACGAAGCCAGTACGAGGTGTTGTTGTTGTTGTTGTTGTTGTTGTTGTATTTAACGCCGTGGCGGCCGGGCTAGAGCCCTTACCGCAGACCTCCCGAAGGGTATATGGCGTGGAGGGCCGTGAGCCAAGGCTACCTACTCTACAGTACGTCGTCTCTTTACATCGTCCTCCAAATCATGCCTTGTGGCCACTACGCGTTCTGTCTGTCCCCGGTTCCCGCTGGTGCCCCAGTTTCATTCTTTCCCAAATCGTCCCTTGGAATCGGGAGGTTCTTTGTAGTCCGCACTCACATCTACCTAGGTGTGGATGCTGCTACCGCAGACAGATCTTCTGGAAGAAGTCCGTCACGCGGAGAAAGGCCTCGAAGCCTCGTGGGTCGGTGATTAATCTCTTGAAGTAGGCCTCGAGAGATCCATAGGACCTATGGGCTCGGGCATACTGCGAG